TCTTGATCTTAAAAGTTTATTTTGATGCATTATGTGGTTAAAATGTACTCGTTATATAGTTTATATAAGCAAAGCTATGAAATAAAAAATAATAAAGAGTGGTCGAGGAGGAGGGATTCAAGAAAAGGTTAAGAGGTGAGATGAGGGATGGGAAAGGGAAAACCTACCCCACTCCCTGTAGTGTCACCCTGAATACAATATTCATTCCTAATTTTATGTTAAAAGATAAAACATACTTTATCTCATAATATATAGGGAGCTGCATTAGAAGAATTGCTAGAAGAATAAAGTAAGGAAATGGAGCAGTTAAATATGAACCAACATTTCTTCAATCAACTATCACAGAAAAGAGAGCATTCCGGGTTTTAACCGATTTATCATTATTCCGTTAGAGTTTACTATTGAACACTGTCTGGAAGTACCTCAAAAAAAAAATGAAGAGGAAAAGAAACAGAATATGCGAAGCTGTGGAATGCTGAAAAAAAAGAATACTTGGGACCAGTTAAATTACTCGCTTGGGTTGACATTATAAGCAATTCTGGAACACATTCTGTGCATGTTATGATGTCTAGGGGACTTCAAATGAGTCCAAAGATTGACAGTGATCAGTTGCACATGATTAGGTGGTTCAGATCCCAAGTACCCACGTATATCCAATAAAATAATTCTCTTTTGGCTTATCATTTATCTGTCACTCTTTAGATTAACTATAAACTAATTTGTCTCTCAGATCTTCCTATAACCTTCCCTTCCTTGGCCTTCCCTTCATTCCTTGTTCCCTGCTATGGAAAATAAAACAAGATTAAGAGGAACCAACACAAAGAGAACAACCACCAAAATGCAAACCCACCTGCTGTTCTTCTATTGTTACATTGGACTCACACTTGCTTCTACTGAAGCTGCAGCAGAAGATGAATTGTCAACTCTTCTCTCAATCAAATCCACTCTCATCGACCCAATGAGGCATCTGAAGGATTGGCAGTTTCCGAGCAATGTGACACAACGAGGTTCACCCCATTGTAACTGGACTGGAGTTGGTTGCAACTTTAAAGGCTTCGTAGACAGTCTTGACCTTTCCAACATGAACCTCAGCGGTCGTGTTTCGGACCACATTCAATCTCTTTCAAGTCTGTCTTTTTTCAACATAAGCTGTAACAACTTTGCTTCATCACTGCCCATATCACTGTCCAACCTCACCTCTCTCAAGAGCTTTGATGTGAGCCAGAACTACTTCACTGGTAGCTTCCCCTCTGGTCTTGGAAGAGCTGCAGGCTTGAGATCAATCAATGCATCGAGCAATGATTTTTCGGGTTTTCTTCCTGAGGATATTGGAAATGCAACATTGCTTGAGAGCCTTGATTTTCGAGGGAGCTACTTTGTGAGTTCAATCCCCAGGAGTTTTAAGAATTTGCAGAAAATCAAGTTTCTAGGCCTTTCAGGCAATAACTTCACAGGGAGGATTCCAGGATATCTGGGGGAACTAACATCTCTGGAGACACTGATTATGGGATACAATTTGTTTGAAGGTGAGATCCCTGCAGAGTTTGGCAATCTTACCAGTCTTCAATACCTTGACTTGGCTGTAGGCAGCCTCAGTGGACAAATTCCAGGTGAATTGGGTAAGCTGACAAAACTGAACACAATTTACTTGTACCAGAACAACTTCACAGGAAAAATTCCACCACAATTCGGAAACATCACCTCACTGGCGTTTTTGGATCTCTCTGACAATCAGATCGCAGGAGAGATTCCAGAAGAACTTACTAAATTGGAAAACCTGAAGCTCTTAAATCTGATGACGAACAAACTAACTGGTCCAGTACCAGAGAAGCTTGGTGAATTGAAAAATTTACAGGTGCTTGAGCTATGGAAAAATTCCTTGGATGGTCCTTTGCCACCAAACCTTGGACAGAACTCTCCTTTGCAGTGGTTGGATGTATCCTCTAACTCACTATCTGGGGATATCCCTCCAGGTTTGTGTACTTCAGGAAATCTCACTAAACTAATCCTCTTCAATAATTCTTTCACCGGTTCCATTCCAAGTGGACTTGCAAACTGTTTGTCTTTGGTACGTGTTCGGATTCAAAACAATCTTATTTCTGGAACTATTCCAGTTGGTTTTGGAAACCTCCTTGGCCTTCAACGGCTAGAATTGGCAAAGAACAACCTGACTGAGAAAATTCCCACTGATATTACCTCATCCACATCACTCTCTTTCATTGATTTATCTTGGAACCACTTTGAGTCATCTCTACCCTCAGATATTCTTTCTATTCCAACCCTTCAAACCTTCATTGCCTCTCATAACAATTTTGGAGGAAATATCCCAGATGAGTTCCAGGACTGTCCATCTCTATCAGTATTGGACCTTTCAAACACGTATATATATGGCACAATCCCTGAAAGTATTGCGTCTTGTAAAAAATTAGTCAACCTAAACCTTAGAAATAACCACTTGACAGGAGAAATCCCAAAATCAATTACAAACATGCCCACTTTATCTGTTCTTGACCTGTCCAACAATTCACTGACTGGTAGGATTCCTGAAAACATTGGCAATTGTCCTGCTCTGGAAATGCTGGACCTGTCCTATAACAAACTTGAGGGTCCAGTACCCTCAAATGGGATGTTGATGACCATAAATCCTAACGATCTTATCGGAAATGAAGGTCTTTGTGGAGGAATTCTCCCTCCATGTTCTCCAAGTATGACTGTGACAAGCCATCGAAGGAGCTCACATGTCAGATACATCATTATTGGTTTTGTGACTGGCATTTCAGTGATTTTAGCGCTTGGTGCAGCATACTTTGGTGGTAGATATTTATACAATAGATGGCCCTTATATAACAACTTCATCTATGATTGGTTCAAACAGAGCAATGAAGATTGGCCCTGGAGACTAGTAGCATTCCAGAGGATCAGTTTCACTAGTAGTGACATCCTGACTAGCATGAAGGAATCAAACGTCATAGGAATGGGGGGCACTGGTATTGTTTACAAAGCTGAAATTCATAGACCTCACGTAACTGTAGCAGTGAAGAAACTGTGGAGGTCACGGACAGACATAGAAGATGGCAATGACGTGTTGAGAGAAGTGGAACTCCTAGGGAGACTTAGGCACAGGAATATTGTAAGGCTGTTGGGGTATGTACACAACGAAAGGAAAGTGATGATGGTTTACGAGTACATGCCTAACGGGAATCTTGGAACAGCACTGCATGGTGAACAATCTGCAAGGTTGCTTGTTGACTGGGTCTCAAGGTATAACATAGCTCTTGGAGTTGCACAAGGGCTTAACTACCTCCACCATGATTGCCACCCACCAGTTATTCACAGGGATATCAAATCTAACAACATACTTCTTGACGCAAATTTAGAAGCAAGAATAGCAGATTTCGGGTTGGCAAGGATGATGATTCAAAAGAACGAGACAGTTTCCATGGTGGCTGGATCATATGGATACATCGCACCAGGTTAGTACTTAACACTCGTTATTTCGTTACTAGTTTACTTACGAATTATGTAGTACAAGATGAAAACGCCTGTTACTATGCAATTTATGCCCCCAAATTATGTTTCCGTAACCACTAGCTCAAGCAAGTGAAAGTGAGAGGCAATAGATGATTAACATAATGATTATATGTCTTCTGGTTTTAGAATATGGGTACACTCTGAAGGTTGACGAGAAGATTGACATATACAGTTACGGGGTGGTGCTTTTGGAGCTCCTAACTGGCAAAATGCCTTTAGACCCTTCGTTTGAAGAATCAATTGACATAGTCGAATGGATAAGGAAGAAGAAAAGCAACAAAGCCTTGTTAGAAGCACTGGACCCTGCGATAGCTAGTCAGTGCAAACATGTCCAAGAAGAAATGTTGCTTGTACTCCGGATTGCACTTCTATGTACCGCAAAGCTTCCCAAGGAAAGACCACCCATGAGAGACATCATCACAATGCTTGGAGAGGCAAAGCCAAGAAGGAAAAGTGTTTGCAATAATGGGCGTCAAGACAGCAGTAGCATAGAAAAGTCAACGATATTTACCACCTCCCCAGTAGTAAGTCTTTTGTAGCAAATTTCTATCAGATAGTAAATACCTGTATTTTCGATAAGATATTGTTTTTTTTCTTCCTTTTTCGATTGACGAAGAAACGGTGATTTCAGATTCGTAATAAAATTATCAACAATAAACATAGTTAAAACGTGCTTAAAGACTGTATAGTGACTCATTGACTCTATCACCATTTTAGTTACCGTTTTCCATCTCAACAAAGGTATCTATAGCATTGGCAAACTTGTTCTTCTCGCCATTTTCCACTACCAACACGAGCCTCTCTTCCACAATTGTCTTAATGCGCCGACCCTTTTCAACTCAAAATTCTTTCGCTTGTTCTTTCCAGTTATGCTTTCATTTTAACTAGTTCAACTGTCGCATACTAAATTTAGGAAGAGCTTCGGTGCCTCCGATGTCAATGGCGGCGTGACAAGTTAGAAAACAATTCCTTAAAAATAAGCTGCATTCAAATTGTAAAAAAATTCTAAATAAAAAAAGTGAAAGTTATCTAACTTCGTTGTTTTTTCCCCAATTGTGAATGTATTATTATAGATATTTCGAGTTAATCCAAAGCAGTGTGAAAGAAAATGCAATCACGACCAGTACACAAAGTTCCGCTGATGTGTGTAATATTTAAAATAATGAAGAAATGCCAATCAGGCAGAAGTGTATTGGATACAAAGTCCAATAACATTAAAATAAACAATTCACATTACAATGGTAAGGAAAAATATTGGGATCCGGTTGACATCGAGAAACGAAGGCCGAGAAGGAAAACTGTTATCTCTTCTAATGCCATAGGCATGGTATTATTAGTGTATTTTGTATCCTAAACTATGTACATTTATCCAAGTACAAACGAACAGATTGCCCTCCAAAAAAATCAATAATAAAATGAACAGGAAGTCTCACCTCAAACTGCCCCATATCCTATACTATCCCATTAGCCTAGGATGCTAGAAGAGCACTTCCTGGTGCATTTCCTCTTTCAAGGAAGCTGACAGATGTTGTCTGTAAAACATCGATGGATAAGTAGTGAGATTAGTCCGTAGCTAGGTGTACACGGTAATTGAGATATTGACTAAATTATACATGTAATTCCACTCTATAGAAATCATATTACATGTTGCATAAAAAATTACACCATCGCTGTACATATGGGTGTCGGTTTGCAGATTCAGATTGACAAGCAATTCAATCCATAATAACACTACATTACATCCGAAGAACCATAGGCTAAAGCCAATTACTACCAATAAAACCCAAACCTTCAAAAAGATAATATTGTATCCATTGCATATAAAGTGACAATGTGAAGAAGGTTGCCAAAATTATAGGAAGGTCCAGAGTATTCAGAATAAAGTTCTCAAAAATGAGTTTTAAAATTTTATCCATATTCTCTGTAAGAATCAATTCTTTCAACTTATTAAGAGAAGATAATAATAATAATAATATTATACCTCACTAGCTTGAACTTCACCAAGTGTAAACGGCTCTTTCTCCCTGATTACACCATTATCTTTAATAATTCTTTCTAAATCCTGCTAGAGGGATCATTAACCATGTTATAAAAAATCCAGAAATAACTTCCATCATGTCCAACATGAAATAAAAGATTGCAAAAGGAAAGGGGGCAGCAGAGGCCATATAACCCTAATACACAAACACCATGTGAACTAGTTGCACAGGAACTTCAATACAGTACTGGAGTTTTGATAGGTTACTGCTACTTTCAGTATTTCAAGCAACAACATATTGGATACAAAATGAATTTTTAAAATCAAGAGATGCACACAATTATTTATAATACGATAAAATGGAACCTACTGAGTTCATTAAACAAATTTTTAGTATTATCTTTACTTTAATAAAAAGTATTTATAAAACTAAAAGAATGTCTGTCATGAGTAACACAGGTTGGTTAGTACTCCCACCAAATATAAAAAATCGCATTTCGCAAAAATAAATAAATAAAAGCATGCTTAAAACCACATTAATAGATTTTAGAAGGGGTAAGAGAATGCAAAAACCACATAAGATCAAGACGTTAGGCTTTCAGATGGGTATTTCTTCCTAAATTCATAAAAATTGACCTTCCAAGGAATAACAATTTGTGGTAAATGATTCAGCAACTGTATTCTCTGTATTTGGAATGACAGTGAATTTACAACAAAAAATGTGCACTTCGATCAAAATTTAGTAATATATACACAGGTTATTTTGGGTATTGAAAGAAACTTTATGACATGCAATTAGACAAAATACTAAAGACAGCGTCACAAACACTAACAAGAATTACCTTCCCAGTCAAGATTTCAAACTCAAGTAATTCTTCCACTATTTTTTCTAGTACTGGGCGATTTTTCAGCAGCATTTCTCTTGCTTTGAGATATGCCAAATCGAACATCTAGCAACATCACAAAAGATTGTTAGATACTTTTGTATATGTTGAAATAACAAAAATAGCATCATATTTGTCTTTTGGTAATGTTATTCTAGTATTGTATCTCTATTATTACAAGAAACCAAATCTCCTCTATTTATTGTATTGATTTTGTTTCTCAATATAAAAAATCATCACCAGCTCTGTCATAGAAACACACGGTTTCACTTCGATGCATCTTTTTTTCTTATAGTTTAACATTATACAGAAAGATAAACTTCAACTAATACATGACTACCTTTTCAACTTTAGCTGCCATCACATATTCATGGTCATCTCCCATGCTTAATGCCGTGACCTGTCAGTAAAAATACATAAGAAAAAGTCTATAATATACTAATATTAAAAAACCATGGTCAATAAACATGTTTTCCTTTGTTATGCAGTTGTCACAGAAATCTTCCATTTGTTCAGTTGATCTTAACTTCTTCAAACAATAGTTTTATTTATCAGATTCAAGTGCAGTGCTCTCTACTCATGAGAGGGACAGATTAAAGAATCACAACCTCCACCAGGATTCTTAAAACTGGACAGCTTAGTAGTTCACAGATAATGGTCAAATATGAGTTTGAGGGAATCACTTGACACTGGAGTAAGTTATGAAAAACTAGTACCATCCAATAGTTCTTAATAAGGATCTATCATTATTCACGTCCATCTTACACCAAAATTATGGAAAATATGAATGAAAACAAAGTGTGAAATTTGAAAGACATCTTAATGGCCACGAAAAAATATTGTATTAATATGAGAAATTTGACGGGCAAGTAATACATGACATATACATGTGGCAATTAAACCATGGATCCACCACTTGAACCATTCAAAATTTGTGTACTACATTAGATCAACCGTGCTTCTATAGAAAAATATCCTCTTACTGAATTGATACTAACAACAGAGTATGCAACTTGTATTTATGTTGACAAAATATGCTACAAATAAGAAAATAAATCACACATTAACTGGAAACATAGATTTCCTATCTAACATTACGTTATTTTTCTTCATACATAAAGTTGGGTAGTACTTGATCTATTAGCAATTCAATAAATTATTTTCATTAAAGATATATTCAATATTATTGATGCTGTTTGAGAAAGAAAGAAAGACATATTGAATATTATTAACCCCATCTGAGAAAGAAAGCAATATAAGTGATGTTGTATGTTAAAAGTAAGCTTCAAGCAACACCTACCAAATAATTCGATCTATATTTTCAATGATCAGACCATCAACATGCAGAAAAAAATAAGAATTCAAAAATAGTAGTTGGAATGCACATAAGAAAGGTCTATACCGCATTACTACGGTAATAAATTGCAGGACTGTCATCCGGTCCCCACCCATACTGAATGACCATTCGAGTAGCTATCTGTGGTAAAGAAAACAAAGATCATAGTTCATGCTTGCAACATCTTTTGGTTAATATTATCATTTTCAAATAAAGTATAATATAAAAAATGAGCAGATATTTTAGCTGACTGTGTTAAGTCAAGTATAAACCAACCTCTTGAGCCTGCTGTATCTCAGAAGTAGAAAGTAAGTTTTCTTCCCCAAAAGGAAGTAACATTTGAGATGCAATATAAGAACCAAAACAAAATACAAGCTTCTTTTCAAGATATGATCTTGATTCTGAATTCCCATTGATGGAACTTTCATTTCTTGCTTTTGTGATTTTTGTACATCCAATTCCCTGTACAATTGTCAAGAATCTATCATTAAACAAGTAAATATGACAAATCAGTTTTTTAGTTGTTAGATATTGTTTAGATATTGTTTGATATTGTTAAGATATTGTTAGATATTGTTAACCACAATATCAAACAATATCTTACATTTATTCTATTTACTTTCAGTTACGTTTTTAGTTGTACCTTTCTCTATTATAAATAAATTACCCTATGTGTGGTTTATATACAAAGGAGATTAATCTCAAACCCTATTTCCTCTATATTCAACATGGTATCTAGAGTTTAAGGTTATTTTGAAATTTTTTTCGCCTTTGTCCTCTATTGGAGCTGTCACCGCCGCCATTGCCAGTTAAACTGATCTTCCACATCAGAAAAGAGTTATCTTTGTTACTGGATATTATTTGGTAATGTAAAAGTGCATGTCTAAGACGGTTCTGACAAGGAAAGACTTAGTATTTAAGCGTGTCCATTAGTGACCCACCTCTCTTTCTTGGAAACTTACCTGGTGTACTGGTTCACACCGCTGTCACCGCCGCCAAGTTTAGCAAGGTTATTCAACAATTTGGTATGACTCGGTGTGAAACAGATCATTTTGTCTTTTATCGACACTCGAGTGCTGGATGTGTTTACTTGATAGTATATGTTGATGACATCGTTCTTACAGGTAATGACAACCATGTCATCTCTCAGTTGAAACAACATTTTTGTCACCATTTTCAAACCAAAGATCTTGGCAAACTTAGTTATTTCTTGGGTATTGAGGTGGCACAGTCCAATGATGTTATTGTTATATCTCGGAGGAAGTATGACATGAATATTTTGGAGGAAACTGGGTTGATGAGTTCAAAGTCTGTTGATACACCCATGGATCCCAATACTAAACTTCTCCCAAATCAGAGGGGGTCTATATCTGATTTTAAGCAGTATAGAAGATTGGTTGAAAAATTGAATTATTTTACAGTTACTCGTCTTGACATTTCCTTTGTCGTCAGTGTGGTAAGACAATTTCGTAATTCCCCATATGAAGATCATTGGAATGCATTCATTCGTATCTTGAAGTATATTAAAGGATCTCCTGGAAAAGAATTGTTATAATGTTCTAATAACCATACAAGAGTTGTTTGTTACTCAGATGCTGATTGGGCAGGATCTCCTTCGGCTAGAAGATCTACATTTGGATATTGTGTCTCCATTGGTGATAACTTGATCTCATGGAAAAGTAAGAAACAGAATGTTGTGGCAAGATCCAGCGCAGAATCAAAATATAGAGTTATGGCCTCAGCTACCTGTGAACTTGTTTGGCTCAAGCAATTGCTTAGAGAGTTACAATTTGGAAATGTCACTCAAATGACACTTGTGTGTGACAATCAGACTGCTCTTCATATTAGCTCTAATCCTGTCTTTCATAAGAGAACCAAACACATTGAGATTGACTGTCATTTCATTCGAGAAAAGATTATGTCTGGAGACATCAAAACTAAGTTTGTTAACTCAAGTGATCAGTTAACAGATATTTTTACTAAGTCTTTACGAGGGCCTAGAATTAATTATATTTGTAACAAGCTTGGCACATACGATTTGTATGCTCCAACTTGAGGGGGAGTGTTAGATATTGTTTGATATTGTTAGATATTGTTAACCACAATATCAAACAATATCTTCTGTATATTCTATTTACTTTCAGTTACTCTTTTAGTTGTACATCTCTCTATTATAAATAGATTACCCTATGTATGGTTTATACACAAGGGAGATTAATCTCAAACCCTATTTCCTCTATATTCAACATTAGTAATAAAATAAGTCAGATATATTTTCCTCTATTGGTCTTTACTAACAGAATTGTAACTACCACAATGACTAGGAAGCAAGTTTGGAGAACAAAGGCTACTAATAGGCTTCATACAATAGAGCTAGATAGTAAAAAACCAGGTTATTGCAGTCTTTACTATGTTGGTATACAACAAGAAATTAGACAAGTGAAAGCAAACAAACAGGGTCAGAGCCAAAGAAAACATATTTTCATTTAAAAAAAAAAAAGAAAAAATAGACATACAAAAACAAGTTGTTAGATTCACACGATTTCTAGATTGATATTAATTAGTTGTATCTATCTATGAGTTGTATCTTCTAGATGTTAATCTTTTCATTTCCCCTCTAATCAATGTATCTCTACAACCTTCTATTATAAATATGAGGTAATTTGGGTTGTGGAGACACCCCCAAATATTATAATATTTCACCTTTTTCCTCTCAAGTTGGTATCATAGTAGGTTTATCCTGCTCAACCTGTTTTGGTTCTGTTTGGCCCACCACCGGCCCCCGCCACCACCAACCGATGTCCGTCATCCGTTTGGGGGTTCCTCGATCTGTTTTTCTTCGTTTGTGTGTTATCTTATCTCCTTCGAGTCAGAAATGGCCTCTAGACCCGTCCCAAAATTTTCTGATGAGGAATATCAAAAATATTTGAAGTTGAAGTCTAACAGTCTAGCCTCAACTCCCTACATTTCACAATCTATGGAGGGTCAAAGTCCATGGATTATTGATTCAGGTGCTTCTGACCATATTTCTAGTAATACTTCTATATTTTCTTCTCTTTCTTATTCTAAAAATCATCATCTTATAACCCTATCCAATGGATCCAAAGTTGTTTCTCAAGGAATTGGTCAAGTATCCCTTTCTCCTACCGTACACATAAAAATTTGTTCTCTTCGTCCCTGCCTATCCTTTTATTCTCATTTCCTTAAGTCAGCTAACAAAATCGTTAAATTACTTTGTAACCTTTGATGCTAATTTTTTTGTTATACAAGAACGTGGGATAGGTCGATTGATTGCAGAAGGAATGAATTTAAAGGTCTTTGCTACTTTGGATCTTGCTCATCTGGGTCCTGTTTTGCTTCTCCTTCCCCGCAGCTTTTACATGAACGTTTAGGTCATCCCCATTTAGCAAAGTTAAAGAAAATGATTCCAAAACTTAGCCATCTTCAAACATTAGAATGTAAGTCTTGTCAATTAGGAAAACATGTCAGGTCTTCCTTTCCTAGACATTCTAAATGTAGATGTGAGTCTGCCTTTTCAATCAATCATTCTGATGTTTGGGGACCAAGTAGGGTTTCTTCTTTTGGTTTTAAATATTTTGTCACCTTCATTCATGATTTTTCAAAAAAAATTTGGTTTATTTAATGAAAGATCATTCTAAACTTTTTCCTATCTTTACATCTTTCCTTAATGAAATTTTCAATCAATTCGGGAAAGTTATTAAAATTTTAAGTGACAATGCTAAAGAATATTTCTCTTCTGATTTTCTACACTCTTAAAATCACACGGCATTTTACATCAATCTATTTGTCCTCACACATCTCAACAAAATGGTGTTGCTGATAGGAAAAATAGACACTTAGTTGAGACTACACATACCTTATTACTTGGGGCCAATATATCGGTCCATCATTGGGATGATGTTGTCCTCACTGCCTATTTTTTTATTAATAAAATGACATCATCTTCTCTAAAAAATAAAGTTCCTTATTCCATTTTTTATCCCAATGAACTTCTCTTTCATGTTTCCCCTCGTGTGATTGGATGTATATGTTTTATTCATGATATGACTCCAGGATTGGACAAACTCTCCACCTGAGTTATCAAGTGTGTTTTCTTGGGATATTCCCATCTTAAAAAAGGATATAGTTGTTATTCTCGTAAATCCAAGAAATATTACATGTCTGTCCATGTTACCTTTTTTGAACAGACTCCTTTCTTTTCTTCATATGTCCAAAATGTTTAGTTTGTCCAACAAGTCCTTCCTATACCATTGATTGAGTCTCTTGATCCTTCTACTAACCCATCATCTCCCGTTCAAGATATGCCTGCTCCATCTATTCTACCTTTTATTACTTACCAACGCAAGACCCAAGTCACTAGTCCAATGCTTCAAGATGAGCCCTATTCAACAGGTACTTCTCAATCATTGCCCTCTTCCACAGTTTCTGATAATGATGATTCAAATTGGTCCATTGCCCTTCGTAAAGGTACTCATACTACCTATAATCCACATCCTATCTATAATTTTCTTCATTATCACAAACTGTCTTCTTCTTATTGCTCTTTTATATCCTTTGTCTCTTCTATAACTATTCCGAAAAATGTGAATGAAGCACTTGATCATCCTGAATGGCGACAAACCATGATTACAAAAATGCAAGCTCTTGATCATAATAATACATGGGAATTAATTCCCCTTCCAACCGGGAAGAAAACTATCGGATGTAGATGAATATATAACATTAAAGTTGGTCCTAATGGTGAAGTAGACTGTTTCAAAACCCAACTGGTTGCAAAAGGATATACTCAAATATATGCCCTAGATTATAGTGATATTTTTTTTCCAGTGACCAAAATTACTACTATTCATCTTTTTTTTGCTATCGCAGTTATTCGACATTGGTCACTTCATCAATTGAACATTAAAAATGTCTTCCTTCGTCATGATGATCTAGATCAGCAGGTCTATATAGAGCAACCTCCTGGGTTTGTTGCTCAGGGGGAGTCTAGTTTGGTGTGTAAGTTGCGTCGCTCTCTCTATGGTCTAAAGCAATCTCCACGAGCTTGGTTTAGAAAATTTAGTTTCATTGTTCAAGCCTTTTGGACTGAGATGTAGTGAAGCAGACCATTCAATTTTCTATTGTCAAACATCCCTTGAAAAATGTGTTTACTTGATAGTGTATGTGGATGATATTCTCATTATAAGAGATGATATCACTAGAATACCCAAATTAAAAGAACATTTATGCAGTCATTTCCAAACCAAGGATCTTGGAAGTCTCAAATACTTAGGTATTGAAGTGGCCCAGTCAAAAGAAGGTGTTGTAATCTTTCAAAGAAAATATACTCTTGATATTCTAAAAGATACTGGTGTGATAGATTGTAAACATGTGGATAACCCTATGGACCCAAATCAGAAATTAATGGCAGAACAAGGGAAAGTTATTAATCTTACTATCACTAAGCCTGATCTGTCATTTGCATTAAGTGTTGTGAGTCAGTTTATGCAGGTTCCATGTACAGATCATTGGAATGTTGGCATTCGTATCCTAAGATACATAAAAAAAAGCTCCTGCACAAGGCTTACTTACATGAAGATAAAGGAAATACTCGAGTTTTTGGGTATTGATATGCTAATTGGGCAGGATCTCCTATGGAGAGACGCTCCACCACAAGTTATTGTATTTTCCTTGGAGGATATATCATTTCTTGGAAAAGCAAAAAACAAAATGTAGTTGCCCGATCAACTGCTGAAGTTGAATACCGGGTAATGGCATCTCTTACTTGTGTGAGCTTATATGGGTAAAACAATTCCTCCAAGAATTAAATTTTTGTAAGTTTCAACAGATGAAAATGTATTGTGATAATCAAGTTGCTCTCCACATGGCCTCAAATCCAGTGTTCTACGAGAGAACAAAACATATAAAATTTGATTGTCATTTCATTTGGGAAAAGCTACTATCCAAAAGAAATCAATACTGAATTTGTCAGGTTCAATGATCAACTTGAAGATGCATTAACAAAGTCTCTGAGAGGACCTTGAATTGAGTTTATTTGTTCCAAGTTTGGCACATACAATTTGTATGCTCCAGCTTGAAAGAAAGTGTTAGATTCACGTAATTTATATTTACTAGATTGATATTAATTAGTTATACTTATCTATGAGTGATATCTTCTAGATGTTAATCTTTTCATCTCCCCAATAATCAATGTATCTCTACAACCTTTCATTATAAATATGAGGTGATTTGGGTTGTGGAGACACACCCAAATATTATAATATTTCTCCTTTTTCCTCTCAAGTCAAGCAATGCTATGTAAACATAAAAGGAATGGAGATATCCTAGAATTTGAATGAAATGTTCCCCTTTGGAAGCATTTAAATTTAAGTATAAGAATACATAAGCCAGCTCATATCGGAAATACTTCATTTCTTTAAAATTCTATCTAGAAATTTAGTCTTCCAAAATAACTTACATATGTTTATTGTTGAATATTTACTTTCAGAGCATTGGCTAGTCAACGAATGCTACCAAACATTCTAAAATATAATCTTCACTATACTGTGAAATTCATGAGGTCCCACTAAATTAAAAAAAAATACTAAAATAAAGTGTGGCCCACATCATTTAGCAAACCTCACATGAATTATACCCAATAATCAGTGTGTTGGCAGTATTTCTCTTGGCTAGTTGTCCAGATTATATACATATAACGTAAATCTCATGCCATGTATGCATCCAGTCGTTCAAACTTAGCAAATAAAAGAAGCCAACATTAGATAACTAGAAAGCCTTGCTACAACAGCAGTCGAAATGGCCTTTGAAGCACAGACTAGAAAGTTTTATAACTAAAAAGCATTGCTATAATATTGACAGGTTATATATTGCAATCCAAGAATAAGTATGACCAACCTGCCATGATAGAGGTTCAAGCCAAAGATTATCAACCACATCAAAATTTGGTAATAAAAGAGCAGTAAGACCACGACCAGCTGCCCAGACAGCATGTGGAAATTTGGTTTCCCTTGTCCACTGAACAATAAAGAAACATCATTTAGTTATTTTGTAGCAAGTCAATTATTTTTTCAACTTCTTAAATAGAAAAAATCTCAGTGATAATACATATGAAAATACAAGGCAAAGCAGTGTTTTGACCACATAATAAGCATTATGTGGTGATGACAGTTTCTTACATCAAGTGGAGGGCTCAAAAGCTCTATCCCATTGCTTATTTGGCCATATGGTTCCATCAAATCAACAACATTCTGCAGATCTTCTTTTGTCAATGTCAGTCCAAGATGATTCACCATCGCTTTGCTAAACTTGTTGAAAATTTTGGTCTTCCGTAGCCATGGGGAAATCATTGGACTGAAAGTCTAAATACATTTCATTTCATACAGGAAAAACTATATGAATACACACAAAATATGACAATAAAAAGAAAGTGATCTATATATAGCAGTTTCAAGAAATAAAGTGGAAAGAATAGTTATGTAATAATATTTTCAATTTTCTTGTTCATTCTATTTCTTGATAAAAATGAAATAAATGAAAATTTGGAAAAAAGAAAGAGGCAAGAAAATTATCAAATGAATCATACTATTTATTATCTTATTGATAAAATTAAGTTTGAATTTTGTATGTTTAAAACAGTTCACACAGCTGCTCTATATTTGTAGTATTTTAGAACAAGTACAAATAAATCTGATTGCAAAATTGATAATCAACAATTAATCAGGGATTGTACAGCTAAATATTATGTTAATTGAGACTAATTCTAATAGATGTGAACAAACTTAAGATTCATTTCCTCTTAGTTGGATAAGGCAATTCAAGAGAATTACCTCCTGTTTGTAACCCATACTGATTGACTAACAGTTTGTATCAGAGGTCTCTCTGGGAATTTGCTAGAGACTACTAGTTCTGTTAGTCAGTTAGATATAACTACCAGTAAGTTATTCTGACAGCTGTTACAGATGTCAGTTAGCTAGACTTCCCAGCTTGTTACACAAGTCACCAGTACTCTTTAAAAATTGTATCATTTCCCTTGAGACATGAATGAATAATATTCAGATCACGTTTTCTCTCCATATCTCACTATTATAGCATCCAGAGCTTGAGAAAGCCTCCCATGGCTTTCAATCCTGAACCTCCACCAAGCTCACTCTTAACACAGTAAACAAGCCAAAATTTCTGCCACCATCACCTCTATGGGGAGAGCCATATCTCTAAATGAACCTCAAGGAACCTTTAAGCCTCATGCTTTGACTTTTGCACCCCATGATAGGTGACCCTCAGAGTCCAACCCAAAGTTCTAACAATTTGTTAGGATTGTCAAAACCTGTTATGATTTCTTCATCACTTCTATCCAATTACAGAAACATTGGATCACAAGAGCTATCCTGTGTGAAAGCAGTAAGTCTAACAAGTGCTTCATGGCCACAAGCTACATCAGTTTCTTCTAAATCTAGAAATCCCATCAAGGTATCTCAAGCAAACTGTGATGCTGATATTGGATATTGATAGTAAACATTCCACATCTAGTGCCTGTCCCTTTTTAGGGCCAACCCTTATTTCATGATGGTCCAAAAAGCAATTTGGCCATAGCTGCTGCAGAAATCTTATGGTGCAATCTCTGCTGCGAGCTTCAAGTTCAAATCTTCACACCTACCATATTTTGTGATAATCAAAGAATTGTTGTTCTTATTCACAATCCTGTGTTACACTCAGGCACCAAACACATCGAGCTGGATATCTTTTTTATTAAAGAAAAAGTCATCAATAGCCTCTTCAAGTTTTTCACATTCCAGCCTAAGGTCGGATTGGTGATGTGCTAACTAAATCTCTTTTCAAGACCAGATTCTGCTTTCTTGCGGACAAATTCAGTGTGCTCAGCACTTAAAAAGTTACAACTTCATCCACTGAGCTTGGGCGGGGACTAATATATATAAGTGGCGGATAACTAAAACAATATTCTGAGTGCTCAGCACCTTACAATTGCTTTCATATTGTTAGAGATCTAACATCAATTATAGATATAATCAAAACAATATATATATAACTGGTGGCTAACCCAAACTCTTTAGTTAGCTTTAGGGTTGAGTTAGGTCCAAGCCCAGACTATAAAATTGTATCAGTCAATCCTAGCAATTATTATTGGGCATATCAGGCCCCGCAGCCACAAATGTTCAGTACTACCGACTTCATGCTCAAGATGTCCAATTGAGGAGTAATACAATCAAATTAGTGTATATAACTGAAGGACAATGCTCACCGCTTTAGCTAGTTTTCTGTAGTTGAGTTAGATTCAACATCTCATCCGTCTCTCTTAGAGTCATCTTGACCACAGATATCAATCACTCAATCGTGAGCAATCATGACACAATGACAGAGCTGTAGAGTGCAACAAAACCCCCATTCTTGAACCTAAAATAAAACTCTTAAAAGAATGTTGTTTTTTAGGGAACATTTAGCTTGTGGCGCTAGCTAACAGAGAAATGGTGGATCCAACCATAGTTAGGGTTCAACGGTTTCCCTCCTTTTTATTTGTTGGTTGGAGTTATATGCTATTTGAGTCCAACATTTCTTGGTGGGTTTGTTGAACCAAAAAAACATGGGTAGATTTCAACTTGTTAATTGAGAAGTTTTATTTATTTTATAATATAATAAGTTAAAGAAGAAGAAGAATATAAAATATGAGTTTTAAAAATATAAGAAGATATCTCAAGCTTAGCATATAATAACGAAATAACAATAATAAACTAAATAATAGTAATAAAAAAATAAAACATAATATATATATATATATATATATATTAAAATATTTCATAATAGGTACCAAAAAATTTAATAGCGGTCATCTTGCTACTGCTATCCCACTATAGCATATATCGGGGGTGGCCGCTATTTGCTATTGACTAATATGTTCCAGACAAGTTATACTAGTCGGTTTTTTGTTATTCTGAAAAGTTAGACTGACCAATTTGTTACACAGTACTTCTTCTGTATGTACTCTATAAATGCTGTATCATTTCTCTTGGAAAATATGGCTAAGTAATATTCAGAACACTGTAAATAGCATATTCTTACCGCAAAGAAACCACAGTAGCCCATCAATTCATCTGTGTCAAGAACTTTGTTTCGGAAGGCACTTCCTTCCAAAGCCATTGGAACAATTTTTAATTCAATAGGTCGTAAAAGAGCTGTCTTCTCAGCAACCTGAAAATGAACAGCTTTTTTAAGTCCAAAGGTAGGAACAAACATTAGTTAACAAAAGACCTTAATAAAATAGTTATCAGTTATAAACCTAGTGAACTTCTTCCTTTTCGTTGCTCTTGGTATTCTTCATTTCCACTGTCATTGTCCATTTGTTTTCAATTATTTAGTTGCATTTTTAGGCTCACATCAAGTATTATGACTCAATAAGCAATCCCCAAGTCCCACCTCCCCACCTCTCTTTCTGACTGTCATTTATTTTGCTTTAAAATGTTAGTCCTCTACTCAATGTGAGACTTAAGCACCTCATAACACCAAAATCCCCATCAAATATAATAGTTGTTGTAGATTCACAGGCATCATACACACACACTCTCTCAAAATATATTTCAAGTATTTCTATTTCAGAAAAAGCAGACTACTTAATTTTGTAATGTAAGGGCGGTTACTTTCTCATTAAAAAAATTTGGTTTTCCTAGTTGGCACTGGAGTCTGTGCAGTGTCCCTCTTCATTGGTATAATTTCATAAAGGTTTTCAGTAAGAACAATGTCAATAAGATCGGTAGTGCAAATTTAAGTGGTTCTTTGGTTTATTTAGTGGGTAAAACATTCAACAGTGCCTTCTTCCCTTACACTTTTTACTTGAGGGGATTTTTGTTCTAGTCATGGTTGTTTCAGTAGAATAAACATTTCCAATTCCCAGAGACTGAGTAATCATTCTTGAACCATTAAATATGTTTCTTATTCTTTGTTGCACCTTTCATTCCTTTTCTGTGGGATATCTTATCATCACACTAGTTGAAACTTTCACTGTCTCTGGGTTGACAAGTGTTCTATTTAAAAAAAAAAAGAATGTAGGATAAACCTTTTTCCAGTCAACATAATCTATAAGCTGATCATCCATGGTTTCCTTTGCTGCCAAGTACAACATTTTTTCTCTCTCAGCTTGTGTCGGTCTTTGAAGATGAAATATTCTATCCATGCGACCTGGCCTCTGCAAGGCCTCGTCAATTTGCTTGAGATTTCGTGTAGTAGCCATCAAAACAACCCCATCTTGTTTCTCAAATCTGCATAGTATATCAACCAGCTGTCAACTATTGCTGATATATGAGCATATCTTCATTCTCAGACAGTCAAAAGAAGCAAAGACTACAGCTTACCCATCAAGTTCAACGAGCAGTTGATTGATGAAAGTTTCATGATCTTGATTTTTGGTATGAATGTATGTACCACGTACACCAGCAAACAGGTCAAAATCCTCAACAAATATTATCACAGGAGCCTACAAATAGCAACAAACAAATCAGGAAATGAGGAGAACTGGTTCAACCAGACAACTATACAAGTATACAGCACGCATAAATAGAAACCAAGTTACAAAAAAAAACATCAAAACAGGGAGAACTGGTTCCACTATCCAAACAAATTAGCCACTGGTTAAACCAGAAAAATAAAAGAAAAAAATAGAAGAGACATAGAAAAACATTATCCTACATTTGTAAGATAGATAAATGTGTTAATAATAATGTTAAAAATTTGAGTATGCAAATTCATATTTTGAAATAAAGATTACATACATCATTTGAGAAAGAATTCAAAATAAAAATATTTTATTATTATTATTTCCCATTCAACCTGTCTTTGACAAGGTTTTTGACTCGCCTCAGGTTTGGAGGAAATCAAACCAGAAGAGGGGCCAGTTGATGATTGGGCCAGCCATTCCAGTCCAGTTCCAAGATAGCTGGTATGAACATAATTTGACTAATATAACTCACAACAAATGTATGACAACATAAATTGACTGAATTCAGTGTATCAATGCACAGTAACAACAAAGGTAAAATGAAACTGAACCATATGAAGTTCATATAGATTTAGTTATAATTAATAACTTATTTGACTCATAATATAGAGATAAAAATAGAAAAGGACAAGAAGACTAAATATTAAAGTGGTTTGAAGAGGATAACCAGATCTCTTGCTGTCTGAAACAATTCACGAACATTGGAGGCACTTTGTCCAACCCACAGCCCAGCCTCCAATTGTTGGGCCTTAATTTCAACAACAGGCACCTTAGCCTCAGCTGCGATAGCCAATGCTAGAGATGTCTTACCCGTACCCCTCTCACCTACAATAAGAACTCCCTGCAATATAGAAAACAGTTTCCAGGAGTTGATATAGGTATCCAAACCAAAGTGCATCAGACATTAGTTATATGATGAATGGAGTCAACTGAAAGTTTACATTGCTACGAAATAACCTCATTAGAATTAAGAACAAATTATGTCTAATTCAATGCAAAAGCTAGCTCAAAAGAGGAGGATGGCAAAAGACTGGATGTCATGAGTGAAGTTTGAAGGATTAGACAACTATATATGGCCCAGCAGCAAGACCAGGGTGAGCTAATATTTCAAAACCAATATTTCAAAACCTGGGTCAAGAAATTAAATCAAGGTTCAATGGTTCAACTGTAGATGACTGTTAAAGGGCATTAATAAAATAGTAATAATAATAATAATAATAAAATGATATACAAACTATAATATCAAAACTTTACAAACTAAAAACTAGAAATAAAATTTTTTTATAGGTTCTTAACATTCAAAGTACACATAAAAGTTCAAATCAAATATATCATAATATTTACGTCTAATTTCAACTATACACAATAATATCTATTAAGAACAATGAGTTTATATTTACAATAAAAAAATGAGAAATTCTTTTGTTGATTTAATATTTTTAAAGAAAAAAATCAGAATAATGATGTAATAAGTGTTTTCCATGACCCGCCAACAGACCATTCTTTTGTATTTTGACTTATTTTTACTAGTTTTACCAATTTTTTTACCTTCTCAATGGCTTCCCAATCTGACCGACTAGAATTAAAGGAAAACAGGGAATTTGGCAATTAATGGTATACAAATCTGTCTTGGTTTTGTAAACTAGTGAACTTCATCGAATAACACAAGAAACTGACTCTGTGTGAATGAAGCACACTGCAAACGGTAGAAGAAGGTGGCTTAATTTTGTTGCCCGTTTTTTTCTAATAAGAGGAGAGGGAGGGGGATTCCTTGTTGGGTGAAAGAAATTAACAATAATTATTTACTTAAAATCCCATAGCTTTTCTCACCCTTAACAGAACTAAATAAATAAGATTAACTTGAGTAGATTTGAGTCATTTCAAAGTTTCTTTTACTGAAAGAAGTTCTTTTTTTTAATCAGTTTACAAGGGAGCTGAAAGAACCTAAAAATTTATAAAGAAAGTTATTGCATCCCAATTTTGCAAGAATATATATATATATATATATATATATAGAGAGAGAGAGAGAGAGAGAGAGAGAGAGAGAATGAAAAGAAGATCTTCATGTACTATCATACCCGAGGTGCCCGTGCACCCATTTCTTGGAATGCCCTTGGATTCTGCAAAAATGCCACAACTTCATTGATTTCCTCTTTCATGGACTCAACGCTAGCAAAGTTCTTCAATGGTATTGGCGGTTTCTTCACCCTCTGCAGAACAATAATAAGTTTCAGTTGTTTCCCAGTAATAATACAGAAAATAAAAAGTTCTCAAGTTCTAACCTTCATTTGTTCAAATGCTGTCTTTATGGGATCAATGCCATCCTTTCTCCTCTGCTTTATTTTTTTCAATTTTTGAGTAATGTAATACTTCTGCAAGATAGCAAAAAGGAGATTAATAATACTTAATTAAAAGTTGCACCATGGGAACATAAGATCTGTATATAGGTCATCATTCCATCAAATATAAGTAGATTAATGAAACCGACATGAACTATACTGGATTAGGCTTGCAAAAATTTTACTTTTTAGTTGAGTCTGCAACAAAAAAGATATTACCATATTTGGTGATATAATGACTGCATTTTGTCCACATTAGAGAACTAAATAAAAATGAAATTGTCAAGAGCCAACACTCCTTAAAATCTTAAGGTATAAAATGCCCCCTCACACAAGAGTCATACAGACTGAAGAAACTAAGCCCCATTTTACCTTCTCAAACTTTAATTTAATAGTAGGGGTAATCTAGATCAAACTCACTTAGGGTGTGTGCGTGTATTAATGTTCTGAACAAAAATAAAAAATAAGAGGGGTAAAAACTTACACCCTAGGACCCTATATGCACCATAGTTAATAGCGGACAACAGAGCAACCACCTCCTAAAATCACTACAGCAGGATGACCACTATTTTGACCCCCCTCCCTCTCTCTCTATCTCTCTCTATATATATATATACACACAATATATATGCATGTAGATGTATAGATACATGTCCATGTATATATTATATATGTATATACATGTACACATTATTAGAATTACTGTAGATAGGTGGTTGTTAGAAGTATTACAAATAGATGTTAGAATTAATAGAGATTGGTAGTACTTGAATTTAAATGTAATTTATGAGTTGTACCTATTTGAATCTATATATATGGGATCATGAGAGTGGTGTGATTAACCCCTCTAAAATATTCCTCTTTTTAATATTAAGTTGGTATCAGAGCGGGTTAATCCAGCTCTGCTGGTCTCAATCGCCGTCATCCGCCACCTCCGACCGTCGCTGCCGGCCATCACTACTGTATCTCTTCATTATCCATGTAGTCTCCTATAAACACTCCAGCAAACATGTCTTCTGGACCTGCTGTCTCTTTTTCAGACTCTCCTACCATCACTTCTGAGAAATTGAATGTTAAAAAATTATCTCTCTTGGTATGTTTCCGTTGAAATGTAATTCCTTGACCAAGGTCTCCATTACCACCTTGAATAAGATGCAAGTACGATGCCTCATAAAGCTGAACAATGGAAGAAAACTGATTTTCATCTCTGTGCATATATATATATATATATATAGATTCAAGCTGAAAATCAGTTCTCTTCCACTGTTCAACTTTATCAGGAGGCACTGTACTTGCATCCTATTCAAGGTGGTCATAGAGACCTTAGACAAGGAACCACATTTCAACGAAGACAGATCAAGAGAGATAATCTTTTCAATTCAATTTCTCAAAAGTGACGGTAGGAGTGTTTGAAAGAGACAACAGGTCCATGCTGGAGTTTTTATAGGATACCGTAGGGATAATGAAGAGATATAGCAGTGACATCAGGGCGGAAACAGCGACAAGCGGCAATGGTGATGACGAATGGTGGCGGCGGCCGACGATGACTGAGACCAGCAGAGCGGGGTTAACCCGCTATGATACCAACTTAATATTAAAAAGAGAGGAATATTTTAGAGGGGTTAATCACACCACACTCTTGATCCCATATATATAATCCCATACAACTCATAAATTACATTTAAATTCAACTACTACCAATCTGTATTAATTCTATCAGTCACATGTAATACTTCTAATAGCCACCTATCTATAATAATTCTATACATGTCCATATATATATTATATATGCATATACATGTACACACACATACATACTTACATGTATACATACATATGGATATATATATATATATATATATATATATATATATATATATTAATGTAATATGCATTTGTGTATAAGTAAAGAAAAACACCTAAACTATAAAACATGTTCTGATTAAATTTAGCAACCAAGAGGTCCAAAACTTAGCAGCAAGAAAACAACCAATAATCAATCCCAAAACAGCAAACAAGCCCATCACCATGTCCAAAAACAACAAAGGAATCAAACTAAATAAGTCTTAACCATATAAAAGCAAAGCAAAACAACCAATCTAAATTCTAAAAGAATATCTAAACATCATCATCTTCAGCCGCAATGTCAAGCATTTTATCCTCATCTGCATCACCCTCACTACTGTAGATTTGTTCCTCCTATTCACTTCCAGTTTCATCATCCTCTTTCTCTTCTTGTTGCACTAGTGGTTGATTTCTTCTTTCAATAGGCCTAGAATTAGAAGCTGCAGATGCAGCTATTGCTCTTTTATGTTGTTGTCAGGATCGCCAACAGAAGTAGGCGGAATCACCTCATGTGATCACCATAAGTTGAGAGGGAAGTTGAGAGGTCTGATTGATTGCAGGTGGGATGAAGAACAAGCAAGTGTACATGAAACATAGAAGAAAACTGAAACATTTAGGCTTGTAATAGGGTTTTACATTTTTACCCTTTACCAAAACATTGTTCCTAGTTAAAATGGCTTCTCTTTCAGTCCCTTAGGTTTAGACAGCAACAGTACTGCAACAGTTGTGATTCCATTTCAAAGCTCATGATGTTGTCTGCAAAAAGCAGTGCAACGGCCATGACACGACCTCTATATGCAATGCTATGCAACCCACTGTCGTGGAGGGTGGCCGCTCTACTCCGCTATGGCAGTGCTATCAATTACTATGGTATGCATCAAGGGTGGAACATATAAATTGAAATCAGGGTCATTTCAAGGGTTTAGTCAAAACATCTATAAGTTGATCATTGGAGTTGATCAATTCAGTGTTGGTTTCCTCATACATCAACTTCTCCCAAACAAAAACGACAATTCACTTTTATGTGCATCACAATACAACTTCATTTGCTGAAATTCACAAGTGACTAAAGTCATTGCTATATATTTAACTTCAACATAAAATCGAGCAACTATATTTTGTTTCTTGCTCTACTAATAGATTATATTTCCTCCAATGGAAACACAATATCCAGCAGTGTAGTGCCTGTAGGGTATCCTACCCAGACAGAGAATCACAATACTAAAACATATGATATTTCCTTTATCCTCATACAATAGTCCTTGTCTTGGAGCCTTTTTGAGATATCTAAGAATGTGAATCATAACATTCCAATGATCAATACTAGAAGCTTACATAATTGACTAACAACTCCAACTACAAAAGATATGTCAATCTAGTAAGAGTGAGATAAATGAGTTTCCTAGTAAGTCCTACATCACTCTAGAGCTTGGACCTATAGTCAATCATGTTTGCCTAGTTCTAGATATCCAAAGCATATTTTCTTTGTGAGATAACAACTTCCTTTGATTGAGCCACCTCAACACCCAAAAAATATTCAAGAGACCCAATATCCTTGGTCTGAAGTGATTGCATAAATAACTTTCTAACTAGAAATTTTAGCAACATCATTCCCTATAAGAATTATATCATCAACATACACAATTAAGTAAACATGTTTCTCAGGAAAAGTATGACAATAGAAATGCCGACAGATCTGTTTCATTAAATTTTAGACCAACATACTACACAATGTGACTAAACTTCCCACACCTAGTAAACCTTTTGTTTGTTTCCCCATTTATGAAATAATATATAATGTGGGAAGGAGCAAGATACTACACTAGTACTGGTTCTAATTACTGACACCAGTTCTAACAGACAACCATAATGCAGGATTTTTTAACATTCCAGAATAGGAAAAGTTTAAGAATCTTACGATGTATCACCACCAACACTTTTGTCAACAGAGTCAATAGGTCAGACATTTTATATTACAAATTATAATGCATTTTTTAAACGTGAACACAAACCTTTCCTTACAGTCCAGTACAGTAAGCTAAATTGAAATATCCTATAAAAAGTTTGTGGCATCTGTAGTACCTTTTAACATTTTTATTTTCAACCACAAGCAATCCGCTTAACTTGAGTATAACACAATATAATATCACAATACAACCATCAGAAAATTAGGAAGAAATTAAAAGAAGAAAAAAATAGCATACACCAGATGCAAGGAGGTTCAATATTGCTGAAGAGAATAAAGAAATACTAAAATGGGAAGCAGATGCTGCTCTACTTGGTAAAAGATCATAACTATTGAAGGGTACTAAGTCAAGCAATATGTCAAGGATGCTGATGCAGTAGCAATAGTGATTGTGAAGTGTGTTCACAGGGTGGCAAATGATGTGATTGTGAGTGCGATCAAGCTACCTGAAGCAGTTGTGAACTAGTGATAACATAACCCAAGACTTATTGAACATTTTCAGAATTGAAATCATTTGATAAGATGTGTCACCACCACCAAAAGTAAAACCTACATTCTTATCAACATTAGTCAGTAGTAGACTTTTATATTGCAAATTAGAAGTCTTCGTTTAAAACCTGAAATCAATTAAATTCAAATAAACAATTTTTCTATCAGTCCACTGACCAAAATTGAAATAGTCTCCAAAATGATAGTGGCTTCTTCTGCAGTACCTTTTAAGACTTTCATTTTCAGCAGAAAGTTATCAGTTTATATAGAGGATAATACTGATCTAATATAATATGAATCCACAATACAGCATAAAATTGGAATAAGTGGTAACCATCAGAAAATTATGCAGAAATTTAAAAACTAACATACAAAAGATGCAAGAACAAACTTATACCACTCGCCGCAACTTCTGCATATTCGGATCTCTTCGAAAAGGCCCAAACCCAAGAAGACTAGGAAGTCTTCTCCTCATAAACTTGACCACGTGAAACAAAACAAATCCATATATAGCAGCTCTGACAAAAAACCAAAAAGACCATGACGCTTCTTCCTCCTCATCTGTTGATTGTCTGGATCTAAAATTCAATTCTGCCTCTGATTGCCATTTCAAGTACCATGTGGTGTCAACTGTCTGATATATTTCCTCTGGCCAAGCCATCCCCAACTGTATCCTCACCTGTATCATAATGACAACAAAGGCTTAGCAAATTTATTAGTTAAAACTCATAACCTGAACCACAAATGAAAAGCTCTGAGCTTGACAATACCGGGTAAGGGATTAAAAATTCCACAATAGGAAATACTATCACCACCATTATGTCATCAGTTGTATCCTTAATTTCTGTAAAGATCCTATTTTTGGCATTTGTGACAACTCCAGTATTCCATAACCCACTTAAAATTCCCTGAGACACTCTAAATATCAAGAGAAATTGTTGGCGGATACTCAATTCAGATAATGGAATCCACATTAAATGAACCGCTGTTGGAATACCACAGGCAAGCATTTTCATATACAGTCCATCAAATCCCCCCAAATCATCAAAAAGCATTTCAAATTCCTGAAAAAGAAAGCATATGTAATAATCACCTACAAGAAATAAAGCCAAAAAAAGATTTCTCAATAAGAAATAGAATATATACAGCTACAACCTTTATGTCTACATAAAATTCTTTGTCCTCCCCCTTTAATGTGATATACATGGCACCCCAATCATGCCTAATGCGAACATACTCTATTAGCTTTTTTGAGACAGCATAAGGCACAGCCACTGGATCCATCTCCCATCTCTTCTTCTCTTCATTGTACCAGGTTCTTGAAACTACTCTATCTCGGTCCAAAAGAATTCGTTCCTACAATGGAGAAATAGTAAGTAGAGAAAAGAACACATTAATGCCTGATGACAAATGAGAACAACTAAGAGTTTTCCCACTTAATGCTCGATAATAAAAACCTAATCCAACATCTTGCACAAAAATAAGTGAAAAATAATATATTCATCATCAACACTTTACAAAAATACATAAACTTCTGATTTATGTTACTCCATTGATGAGACTAGAGAAAAATCACATGAAAAGATTCACTGCAACATACAAGATATTTATTAAACAAAATAAAGGCTAATGATAATTGACAAACAAGGGAATGAATGGATCTCAATTTGACCTGTTCAATCCCATTATATTGAATTAGCAGTATTTATCTAGGTTTTGAAGATCAGACTGGCCAGTCACACCAGTGAACTATTAGGTAACCAGTTCAAAGAAACCACAAAACCAACCTGAAGAAGAACCAGTCAATGAACCAGAAAACCGATAAAAAACCAGTCTAATAATAATAATACATTATTTTAACTTTAAAAGAAAAAAATAATACATTATTTGCCATTTTCTTTTTATTCTACATATAAATTATTATTTTTATTAATAAATATTGATGAATATTATTGACATTTTAATTTAAGTATGATAATATTTTTTATTTTAATTTTTATATGTATTTTAATCATTAAGAACCTATAAATTTATGTTTTCTTCTTGCTTTTAGCATCATAGAATTATTTCATATATTATTATTATTATTATTATTATTATTATTATTATTATTATATTAGTTTTATTGATACAGGCTTGACCACACTGTAAACATTGAACCCTGGACTAGTGCCTTGACTGGTCTGATTTTAAAAACAATGGTATTTATGGTACATTTATGTTTCTACATTTCCAGTGAATAATTCAAAGAAGATACAAAAATCAATAAACCCTTAATTATCTCTTCTGATGAGTAAATAATACTTTTGTTTTCTTTTCTGCATGTGAAAGTTCACTCAAAAATTACTTTCATAATCACTTGTACAATGGTTATGCTCCCTTACTCATGATTTAATGTCAATAATATTACTCAAAATGTCCTTGAAGAGACCAGACATCAAATCTTAAAATAACTGACTCGATGATTTAAAGTTGGTTTTTTTGGTACTAAATTACCAAATAAAAAAAATTGATATTAACAAGCATGTACAATAAATATATACATGAGATTAGAGAGTCGAACAATCCACCTATTTGGAGGGTATACTGTATGAGGGGCATAGGATGTAGAAATCAGATCATGTGGCAGTTATGTGTTTAGTTATGCAAGATGGATGTGTAATAGCTATGTATTTAACTCTGCGGACAGCTATCCAGCTGTTATGTGTCTAAAGCAGCATACTTATGTATCTCTATATGATGTAGTAGGGTTAGGAGGCAGTTATTAGGTAGTTTGGACAGAATGCATTCTTTGTAGGAGTTTCTCAACTCTGGGACATCATTTTTGCTGTAGTTTCTGTAGAACTTTTTGTTTAATCATAACAAACATCAATTTAATTGGTATTCTATCACATATATAATGCATCAATAAAGATATACAAAGAAAAAGTTAAATGGAATCTCCGAACCTGTCTTTCAGCCACATATTGTCTGCCAAACTCAGCATCTTTTATTAAATTCTGTTTTAAATTTGCCTTAGCTTCTTCCCGCCATTTCTTCCAACCATGGTACAGATGGAGACCAACAGCTTTGGGAAGCACAACCTCCTTATTTCCAAACATCCACTTCATCTCAACTTCAGGGAAACCCTTAACCACATCTTCCTCTGGTGAGTAAATAATACTGCGCTTTTCCTTGCCAAACTTTTTCATTTTTTTTCTTATCTGAGCCTCTAAATTCCTTTGCTTCTCCCTGGAATCTTTAAGAACTCTTTTTAAACGTTGGGCAAAATCAATAGAGTCTTGGTGAAAGAATGGCCCAAGATCTTCAACATCTAAAATGCTAGGAAGAATTATTTGTTCTGCCTGTTTTCTATGCACAGTTTCCAAATCTTTTTGAATGACAGATTTTGAGAGCCTGGTAACTGATCCAGTAGACAAACTGCAACCACATGACAAGATGTTTGCATAATGACATACAAATTGAATGGTATTATGCCAAAACTAATATGACAGAACAGTACGCAACCAATAAAGTTGTTCCATCCAAAATTGACAACAAATTCAAGCACAATCGAACAGATTGACAACAATGTTATATTTTTATTTGCAGACTTGCATATTCCATCAAAATTTCTGAGAGTTAAAATCCCATCATAGTCAAAATTAAAAAGCGGCTCCCTCTTCCCTCAGCCAAGCAAAACCAAATACTAAAAAAAGACAGTAATAATAATGTTAGTTCTAGTAGTAGCAGGAGAATGAAAAGGCGGCAAACAACCCAAAATGATCAAATGGTAGAGAAGTTACACCCTTAAAACTCTAATATCCGTCCTTAACTATTGTACTTGACACAAGTAACATAGAAAACCTCACTCACATCCTAGCGTGATATCCTCGTTCATATTACTATGAAGACAAAACCAGAACATAAAATCGCTTTCAGAATTAATGAATACACATGCAAACACATCACATTACAAAACGCATTGATTCAAGTTATCAAGACATGTGACCTTTCGAAGTCCTTGCGTCTAATTTCCTGTTTAAACCTCTCCACCAGCTGCTCACACTCCCTCTCTATGAAATTGATTTCCCTCACTCCATAACTCAACGCCACAGTCTCCTCCCTCGAAATCTGGTCCTCGATATCCCCAATTCTCTCCCACAACCCATTGTACTCATTCTCCATCCCTCCCACAGTCTCCTCCAACTCCTTCATCCTTGCCTTCTCCTTCTCATTGGCCACCGCCTTCGACTTCAATCTATCGTACTCCCCCGTCGCCCTCAATATCTGGCCGAGAATCTCCCCGGACCGTTTCCACAACGCCTTCTTTACTTTCCTCAGCTTCCTCAACGCCGGGTAGAGCCTCCCGTCAATCGCTTTCCGCATCTCTATTTTCTTCGATTTCACGGCCTTCAACGCCGCCTTGACCTCGCTCGCGCCACCATTCCCTTTCCTAGCTCCATCTATGACTCCCAACAAAAACGACACCGTCTCCAACAACCCATCGGTGCAGTCCGAATACTTGTGACTCTTAGTTCTCTCTTTCTCTTTCTCGGCGCCTGTCTTCCTGAATAGACTCCAGGGAACAGCAATTGCGAGTGCGGGAGGAGGAGCATGGAATGCGCCGAGCGCGGAGAAACCAACGGCGAAGCAGAAGAGTGCGCGAACGAGGTGTTTCAATAAAACGTCGTGGTTGGGAGAGGGTGTGAGTGCGGTGGAGCTGGCGGCAGAAATGATTGGTGGATTGAGGGTGATGGGAGGGAGTGAGAGTGGGGTTCGTGGTGTTCGACGGGAGTTGAAGATGAGTGTGCGGATAGGAATGGGGCGAATGGAAGTGAAGAGAGGGCGGTGGGGAAATTGAAGTGGAGAAGAAGCGAGAATGGAGTCCATGAATGTGGTTGAGTTCAGAGAAGAGAAGTGAAGTAGTGAAAAATAGACATTGAATAGAATGAAGTGAGAGATGCTCTATCCTGCCACAACTGCAGCTGCAGGGAACATCAACATAGGGATGGATAAATGGGTTATTGGGTTTTAAGACTTCTCACAGCCTAAAAAAAATTGTATAGGACGATCATATCTTCCCGGGCATAACAATTGAAGAAGTGAAAACAAATAAAAATAAAAAAATGAGGTTGTTTAAATTAAAATAAAAAATGAATTCATCTACATAATCAATTATGCAATCCTTTAAATAATATATAGGTGTTATTAAAATGAAAAAATGGATTAGATATGACTATTTACAATCAATTAGTCAATCTGCTTAGTCTACTAATTCAACCAGCTAAAGATGGGTGAGCTTGTTCATTAATAATCATAAAAAAAATATGTATATATTAAAATCAAAATAAAAAAAATTATAATTACAAATATTATATTTATTTATGTTATATTATTAAAATATATATTATAATATTATAATTAAAATTATAAAAACTAATTAATTAAATTTAAATTATTGATTATAATTAATTATTTTGATATATAAATATAATATATTTTTTATTATCTAATAAAAATATTAATTAATAAATTAAAAATTAAAATTTATTCAAATGATTAAAAACATTTTTTTTAAATAACACATATAAAAAATTACATTAAAAAAAATGATGAACAAACCGTTTTACCACCATTCTTACTCCGTGTATTATAAAAGAAAAATAGCATGATAATTAAAGAAAGTTTGACAATTTAGATAAATTTACTTTTTTTAGTTATCTTTTATCATCTTCTTCTATTTGTTCTTATTCTTCATTTTCTTCCTGTTACAAAAAATAGAAGAACTCATGTTAAAAAGAAATGAATAGAAGATTCTCACGAGTAAATAAAAACAAAAACACAGAGTAATATTAGAGTAATATTGAAGTATTATGTAGTATTATTCACTTAATCAAACCTTTAAATAAGTAAATACAAATTATTAAGTGCTAAATTTGGAATTTATTACTAATAAAAAATAAAATTATAAGAGCACTAACAAAAATATTTTAAAAAATATGATCATCTTCCAATTACTTAGATTTTAACTTTTACAACTTTTTGCATACATATGCATCCATTTAAGGAATGAGAATATTTCAACATCATATTCACTATAATAACATCGTTAGATCAATTCCTATATCTGAGGTATTATTTATTTTAAAGTTTTTATCAGTTACGATTTTATCATAAAAAAACGTCTTGATGAATTAAGAGATAAAAGTGTATTTAAATTATTATTGATCTCTATTTTTAAGCTATATAATACTCATTAGAATTAGCATAATGGTGAATGTTTATCTTAAACATCACATGAAAAAAAATGTGTTAAATGATTAATTGAGATGAAAGATTTTGTCACTGGAACTTCATCTATTAAGGTGATAGATAAGGGAGATGAAAACAAAATTTGCTGTATATTCTAAGATACAACATACATCTTGAAATTTCTTATTAACATTCAATTTTGAAGTTCTCACTTTAATAATGCTTGCATTTATGAAGTTTTGATCATTTCCCCCACTCAATTGCATGGTAATTGCAAGCATATTCATATTTCAAACATTTGGAGTCTGAAGACCTATTCATTATAATGTTTTCATTGTAAGGATCAAAATCAATATTAATGAAAAACTTCATGGATTAAGTTGTAATTTAATGAGTCTAAGACTAAATTATAAATAATGATATTTTTTTCTAAATTTCTTATTTCATGTTTTCTGTAAAACAGAATATATGAATATGATACAAGTAGTGATTTTAGATGTATTACTAATTGGTTTTATCTAAACAGAGCCTACGTACTTTATTTTATTGGTCTAATTAAGTCAACCATAAATTATTCATAATTTCGAGTAATAATCTAGAGATTTTCTCTAAAAATTAAAAAATCGATAGAATTTTACTTCATCACACTTCACGCTCCCAATTTTTTTAATATATTTCTTATTTAATCATTCTCTTTTGGGGTGAAAGAGGGGATATCTCCATCGGAGAGTAGCTGATAGTACTTATAACTTACATTGAGGAATGAAATAGTGAAGAATAAATAAATAAAAAGTATGAAGTAAAAAAAATTGCAGAAGAATAAAAAGTTATTTGAATATTAATATTAATTAATACTTTAATACCTAATATTTTAAATTTTGTCTCATTGAGTTCTTCCACATTTTTTAAATGAGTTATGTACAATAAATATTTATAATCTTTTTTATTTTATTTTATTTTATATATAAATTGATTAAAACTAATAATACTTTCTTACGTATTTTTTTTTATTTTTAAGTAATTATTAAAAAAGTATGTAATAACTTACTGATAAAGTGTTTTTTCGTTTTATTGTTGATGTTGTGGGATGTAAAAGCCATAATACCAATATCTCAGTATTTTATTTGCACATCCTCTTAATTAATACTCATTCATTATCATGTAAAGTGCTCAACTAAATTTTCAAATAATTTGTTATTATTTATTCACTTCTAGGGACATAGTAGAATATGGCATAAAATTACAAGAATATTTGTTTTGTTAGAAAATTATAGAATAAGGTTTTAGTGAAATTATTTAGTTAGTCTATGGATTAAATACTTTTTGGATTTTTAAAAGTGTATAATGTCTTCTATTTAATCCTTAAAATTAATTAAATTCAAAATTATACCTTATAAATAAAAATTGTCTTTTACGTTAGTCGTATGTTGAACAGATGGAAGACATGGTAGGTTTTATGTCAAATGTCATATAAGATGCCATGAAGGGGACCAAAGTAAAGTGTTTTGCTATTGAAAATAATAAAACAATGATTGGAATCCCTGAACAAAAATAAAAAATATAATGTAACAATTTATGAATTTGTTTATTTAACCAGATTTCAAATAAGAAAAGATAATAAATAATTACAAATATGTGTTATTGAAAAATGACCATGAGTATTTAATTTTCTATTGATTTTTATACATGAAGTTTTTCATGAGTTGGTAAAAATATACCTTTTAGTTTTTCATCGTTTAAGCTTTATTTTATATTGTTGCCTCATAAATAGTTGTGATAGAATAAATTAAAAATGGTGTATTTCAATACTTCAAAAACATTTTCTTTTTTAGAACACCCGGATGATATTTTTCTCCTATTTTTTTTTTCAATCCCTATACTTAATATATTTTTTTATAAGATTGTGTGTACAATTTTCTTTAAAAAAAGAAGAAAAAAAACAACTTTTTTATTATTTGTAAAGTGACAATTTGTTATTGGTAGGACATCGTTTTGAGTTTAAAAAGTGTAAAATATTTTTGTTAAATTCTAAGAGTATAGAAATTTTAAAAGTAAATATTGATATGTATAATTAAAAACAAAAAATATAACAGAAAATATATTTTATTGATTTGGGTATTTTACTTTTTAAATTAAAAAGTAAAAATAATATTCAAAAACTGTAGCATTTCAATAAAATAGTAACCAACAAATTTTAAAAAAATTAAAAACTATTTTTAAAAGCAGTAAATTATAAAACTTTTGCTGTTGGATCAGATATATTGTTATTTTTAAGAATTTTAAATATACTAGATTTGAATTATTTTAATTTAAAATTATTTATTTTTTAAAATTATTTTTTTACATTAAATAATTCAAATTTATTATTTATTTTCGAATATAGTATTTTAATTATTATTAAATATAATTTTTTTTAAATTAATTAGGTTTGACCCACACCATTTAATCATAACAATTAAATTGAATCATGTGAAATCAGGATAAACTAAATAATAAGATTGGTCTGATCAAAATAAATTGTATTAAATTAGGAACGTTGAGTCAAATCTACTTAAGTTGACAGGTTGATATAAACTGTGTAGGATGAGTCAAACTAAATAAAGACAAATTAAATTATATGAAGTCAAGTTGGATCTATTCGAATTATAAGTGAATAAAACAAATTAATATTAAATATTTTAATGGTAGAGCTATTAGGTTAGAAAATATTAGATTAAGATAAATCAGGTCAAACCAATATCACATTAAGATAAATTATGTCAAATCAACCGGTTGGGTTAAACATAGTTTAACTAATTTATTTGAATTTGATCAAAAGAATTTAATCCTGATAAGTTAGGTTGAGATAAATTAGATTAAATCGAGATAGGTTGAGCTAAACAAATATAAAATAAATTAGATTGAGTTAGAATAGTTTAATAATTATCAAAATGTGTTTGTTTTAATCATGTCAATGTGAATTGGATCCTATTAGACCATACTGATGTGGTTTGAGTTAAATCAACCCATGTTAAATAAGTTAAAATAAACTAAAAAGATTGAATCAATATGAATCAAAGATAAAATATAAAAAAAAAACATAAATTTGAGAAAAAGATAAAAAATTTCAATTTTTTACTTTTTTAAATAATATTTAAAATTATCTTATTTTTAGTGATAAAAATACTCTTAACATTTTATAAATTTTTATTAATTTTTTAATTTGTTATAAAAAAATTATTTTTGTTAATGTAAAACACTTAAAATACTCTATTAAAATAAATTATTTGATATAAATTCTCATCAAAGGTTAATTTTTCAAGATTGATTAATAACTTAAAGATAATAAACAATAATTCAAAAATTGTTTTAATAATATAATCAAAATTTAAAATTTATCATTGTTTTATTATTACAAAAGAAAAGAAAAGGTATTAATATTATAATTTTAATGAATTATAGTTTGGATAAAAAAATAAAAAGTAGAAAAAAATAATAGAAATTTTGTAATTGTTTAATTTTTTTAAAAGAGAAAAATATCTGGACGATTTATTGAATTATCAAAATAATCTTAATTTTTTTAAAATTTAATATCAATAAAAAATAATGACTATTAAATATGATATAGTTTTTTTTTAATTTGAAATAATATTAAAATTTTATTTATAATAAAATTTAAATTATTTAAATAATGTATTACAACTTATGGTTCACTCATCAATTATTTTATATATATATATATATATATATATATATATAAATAAAATAAAAATTATAAACTATATTTTAAAGTCACACATAATAAAAAATTGTAAAAAACATTAATATTTTACACCAGAATTATTATAAGAAAAAAAATCAAATAATTTTAATTTCATCTTAAAGAAATCACAATATTTTAACTAATTTATCACCTTCAACCTAATAACATATTAAATATTAATGCCAAATTTCAAATTAAGATTGTTTTAAAAATTTGAAAATACTAATAGCATGTTTCAAAATTTAATAAAAAAATAATTTAAACCGATAAATAAATAAAAATTATTGACATACTGCATATATAAAAAGATAATATAAAACTAATAAAAAATATTTCATATACGTCATACAATAACGTGAGAGAGAATGTTGAAACAAGTGAATAATCTATGTAAAAACCTTAAGATAAGACTCTTTCACCTAATGGTTGTGTAAGGGGATATATCTTTCACAACATTTAATTTAATAAGAGTAATTTAAAAAAAATTGTCTTTTTTTTTTTTTTTCCTTCTTCTGCAAATGGAACAACCAATGTAGACCCCACTACATATACTTTTATTCCATTTTGGCTTTAATTATAAGTAGAAAACAAACTAATGTAATTATTCACATGCTGCTTCACATCCAATAGAAACTAGGTATCAGAGTGTAAGAGAATGTTGTTATGTTTAGAAACAGGTACACAAGATGAGAAACCAAATTTTACTAGACATAAGCAATTTAAATATACAACATAAAAGATGTGATAATTGAAAAAAATTATATAAATAAAATATTACAATAATTTAAAACACAATAAAAACTATAAATACTCAATAATATATTTTTATGAATAAAATAAAATTCAAATTTTATATAATAATGTTATATTGTAATTTTTTTATTTAGTTTTATGTTAAACTTCACATAATTTTACCAAATATTTATAATTTTAAAATTTTGATTCAACTTTATTTTTTCAATTACATTTTTTTCAGTCTTCGAACACATTTGTACATCAAACCAAATGGGGATGATAGATTAACAAATAAATTTGAAGGTTTGCTATTGTAATTAAAAAAAATTGTCATGGACTCCTCTCATCTTTTATTTTTCTTTTTCTTATGTTAATCCAAAATATTTTATTCAAAGTGTTTATGATTTTATATGATGTAATATATTTTTATCAAATAATCATTCAAATTAAATATAAAAAATACATACTATTTTAGTTTATTAATTGAATATAAAATATAAATCAAAACAATTTTTACCGTTGAGTTTAAATAGGTAATTGTTAAATAATTAAAAATAAAAATATTTTTTTATAAATAAAATTATTAAACATTTTACAAAATAAAAAATTCTTAAATAGAAAGATGTATTATTAAAAAATATAATTATGATTATAATCATAATTTTTATATATCTATATAGATAAATTACATATTCTATAATGAAAACTACAATTTAAAATTTAAATTATAATTTTAATAAATATAAATATATTATAAAATTTTTCAGTCAATCATTTAATAAATATAAATATATGATAATAAAATTATAGTCAATCTTTATTAAACAAAACAAAGATAAGATTAGATAGATTTATTAGGTAATAATTAAATCTGAAATTATAATATTGTGCTTCAATAAATATATGATTTAATTTATTTTTTTAATTTTTAAATTGAAATCTCAATTAAATTGTGGGATTTTAAAAAAAATAAAAAATTTAATAAAATATTATGTTATGATATATTTATAATTATGTAAATGAACCTTTAATTAATATTATTTTAATCAAACATTGTTAATTTTTGGTGTGGGAGAGATTAAAAAATATCCCTTGCTTATATTTACAATATAACTTGTTTTTATGTTTGATTGGAGGTGGGTGACTTTAAGTGAATATTAAAATCTCAAAATGTATGCTTCAATTAATGTAAATTATTTTGTCATGGCATACTTTTTTTTAATTTTCAGCCTAGCAACTTATCAAGATGTTTGTTTGATTAGTTAAATAGACATGAATTATTTGGATAAATAATTAGATAAAATTATTTATTTTATTGTGAAAAAAATAAAATCTATTGAAAACAAAATATTAGTTTAACTAATCAGTTCAAGTAATAAATACATTGATCATAATCACTTTAATTATCATGATAATGTATTATTAGTATGATATTAAAATAAAAAAAATGTTATATAGATTTTTTTGAATTTAATATTTTTGATAGTTTTTTGTATAATATTTTATTGTCTGGTTACGTATCAACCGTTATTTTATTTTTCCATAACTTATAATGTTTATTGTTTCTAGCTTACATCACATGATTTGTTTTATTTACTATCATTTTTTTTATTAAAATAATAAATATAAAAATTTAAAGTTTCATTATTGTTATAATATTAAAATTCTTTTCAAACAATCCATATACAATTCAATTTAATAATGATATAATGATGAATATAAGATTTTTTTTATTATTATAACATTAAGATGAGTTTTTGGTTAAACCATAATTTTGCTTCTGTAGATTTTCAAATAAGAAAAAAATAGTCATGAATCAAAAGGTCTAAGTATTTTTTTATAAGTAATAATCAGGTATAAATAATATAAAAAAAAAATCTAATGGATCGAGTTGCTGCTGGTTTAGTTTGAAGAAAGGAAAGCACGAAGCTTTTAAAAGTGAACCATTTTTGATTTTTGTATCTTTTTTCTCCCTTCTCTCCCTTCTCCCTCCTTTCATCATCAATCTTCAAATTTCGCCCCAAACATCGAAACAGTGTGACTCGCGAGAGCACACTGTACCCGACTTATATACAAACCTCCTTATTTCCGTGCCCTTATTTCGAAGGAAGATCGAATCATCTCGATTCTCGGCTGGGAGGAGGTTCCTACCTAATTCTTTTCGCTCTCTCCTATTCTATGTAACTTAGAGATCCAGAAGCCATTTGCCACATCAACATCCCTGCTTTCCTCTGTTTCCGCGATTAAGGTAGTACGTTTCCGCTATTAAGGTAGCACGTTTCATTTCTAGCGTGATTTAGAGTATTTGCTTTAAATCAATAAATAAATTGCATTCCGCAAATGCTGGTTCTGTTGATGGCTGCATAGGTAGCTATTTGCTGTTACTTAAATTAGGTTTAGATTTATTACCAACATCTGAGCTGTTGTTTTTTTAAGTGAAATTGTAGATTAACATAACTTTTTTATGTGTAACGGAACATTTTCACGTGTAAAGTATTACTCTGAGAAAAATTGACATGATTCCCCTAGGGCTTGGGCGCTATTGCTGCACTGCTTATTCAACACTTGACTTTACTTCAACTCTAGTTAGACTGGGTTCTATTTCATTTTAGGCAGATTTTATGAAAAGGCAAGTCAATTGCACTAATATAGTGTAAAGCATTGACGTAAGTTCTTAAATCAAGCTGGTGATATTTATTAGAACTTAGAAGTCTGTCTTTTTTCGCCATTTTGAGTTCATATTTATGGTTCCAATTTCAGAGTTTGAATGAAGCTTGATGGTTGTCCATATTCACGAGAAATGCTAGGAAGTTAGAGGACTAAGATGATTTGAATGTTGTTGCTAAACACACAATTAATCAAGCAGTATTATTGTTGTTTTTTTTTTTTTTTTTTTAAATACCTGCTAGTAATATTAGAATTTTATTTTATGGAACTGTAGGTATCGAGTGATAGATGACTTAGGCAGATGTTGTTTAGATTCTATTTGAAAGCTCTTGTAGGTAGTTCTCCAGCATTGGCATAGTTGTGTGCGGACATTGTTTTCATGTTTTCAGTATGTGTAACTCAAAAGTAGTAAATAAAATCAGGCTTTTTATGTGTCCATAAGGTCTATGGTATAGTTGTAGTTCGTGACCTTGATGGTTATCAGTGACTTTTCCCTTCTCCTTTTTAAATATCAAGGTTGTTGAAATAGTGGATTGAACTGGGTTAATTTATCTGGCTTATCTATCATGGGAAGAGAAAGTATTATCTTTGGACGTGAAATTTTTACTGCAAAGTATGTTTGAATACTGTTTTTTGTTCTGGTATTTGCTACTGTTGTGCTTTTCGTCCATTGTGGTTGGCCTCTTCGCCACTTTCTGAGAATTTACAAGTTCCATATATAGTTCGTCTTATTTAAACTGCTGTCTTGTATGTTTGATTGTCCTCATGTTGTAACCTTTGATAGAGATGGAGGGAAAAACTGTGGATGAAGTGGTGGATATTGAGAGTGCTTCCAGTGCTTCTTTCAATGATGATTCAGATGATGAGGAATCTTTAGTTCCTGAAATAGATGATGGAGTTCACCTTGAGGTCAGTCATGTAGATATCTTCTTTTACCCTCCCTTTGTTTATTGATGGATTTTTCATGCTCTTAAAAAACCTAGCTTTCTATATTTTCTTCTGATATAAACTTTAGTGTGCTTTATTTCCATTTTTATGTGTATCATGTAGGAACCGTTAACGGAAGAGGAAATACAAGATCTTATTTCTGAGTTGTTAGAAGTTGAGAGTAAGGTACTATAATTATACAGACACAAACATCCAATGTAGTAGATAAGTACTCCACATCACCACACACACACACACACATACACACACTATAGCCTTTCATGATCTCTAAGTAGGTATTATTCCACATTCTAAATTGTATCTTTACCTTATGTTTCTTTAATTACAATTTAATTTTAATCTCTTTACTACTTTTTAATAACTTCTACTTATTGAGTTTTTTTATAGTTTATTTAATTGTTTATGGAAATTACAGAAAAGAACTAATATTTGTACTTAATAAATTTATGGATAATTAATCAAATTAGTGGTTGCTTATTTTTTTTTTTTTGATTCACCGAATATTAGATCACTAGAATAGCCAATCATTGACTGTTAGGTTAGAGTTTGATTTCTTTTGTCAGCTGAAATTACTATCCAAGTGATTCTAAATATAGGAGCAAGTACCACAACAACATGCATGTGCTAAGCAAGGGTTATCTGTCATGCACAATAGTGCTGCTACAGTGTTTCATTGTGCCCTCTGATGGATACTTCCATGCTGAATACTGTTGTTTTTTGCATAGTGGGAGTTCCACCCTGATAAGAATAAACCACCTATCACCAAGATATACATACACTCGTAGGAAAAAAACAAAAGAAGCAACAATCCTAGACTACCAGCAACAAGACACATAACACTCAAAGGATGCAAAACAACTAACAATTACAACCCATCCAAGGGGTATAAAGCCAAGGGATGCGAATCAAGGGGCATAACCCTTGGAATAGAGATATAACCATTAGGAAAAGTTGTATAAATTAGGAACGGTTGTTAGAAGCAATATAAATAGAAGTAATCCAGATTAGGAAAGACACAAAAAGGAAATTGGGAAAGAATTGTATTGTGGAGAGATAGGCTCTCGAAAACCTATTATAAAAATATCTTAAAATTATCTTTATAGATTCTATTCATTTTTTTTAAATCCTGTCTAGTTATTTTCTTTTCTTATCAATTTGGTATTAGAGCACCGATTAGGTGCTTTGCTTCTAAAAATGGTGACAACTTGTTCTAATTCTGATAATCATGACACAATGGAGAGAATTTTTGAGATGCTGATGGTGGACCGACAAAACCGAGATGCAGAACGACAACAACTTTAACCATGTTTTGCATGAATAGAAGCCATGGTAGAAAATCTGTCTAAGCATTTAGAAAATGGCTCACCCAAAGGTTCCGTTACTAGAGAGGAAACACCCTAGAACCATGCTAAGGAAGGAAAAATAGAACGATGGAGAAAATTGGAAATCCCCGTATATGATGGAGAATCTGATGCCTATAGATGGATAAATAAATTGGAATGTTTCTTTCAAATGAGAGATATACTAGAAGAAGAGAAAATTCAGGCAGTTATGGTGGCACTAGATGGAAAGGAACTATTTTGGTTCCAATGGTGGGAAACTTGCAACTTTAACATTGGATGGGGAGAATTCAAAGTTGTCATTCTTGAAAGATTCCAAACTTTAGCCACTCTCAATCCTTTTGCTGCTCTCCTTGCACTTAAACCAGAAGAAACAGTAGAAGAGTACGTTGACAATTCGAAAAGTTTGTAGGTATGCTACAAAATGTTGGTGAAGAACAACATTTTTGTGAACGGATTGAAGGAAGACATTGGGGCAGAAATTAAAGTCTATGAACCCCCCACTTTATCAATCATGGTCAAGAAGACATTAATAATCGAGCATAAAAACAAAACAATTTGGAAGGTGGGAACAAATATTGCTTCAAATTCAATCTCAAGATTCAACACCTCTTACCAAAGTCCATCCCATACGAAGACTGTGTTATTTATGGTGTTAGTAAAAAAGGTGGAGGAAATAGTAATGACTCTTCTACTTCTTTTGCTAGCAGGGCATCTATATGAACAAACCAAAAAACAACAACTGACCTAGAAATTTTTAACGATTAATTGAAGCGGAGCTTCAATAAAAAAGGAAAAAAGGATAATGTTTTCGCTGTGAAGAAGAATGGAGCACCTCTTATGTTTGCAGGAATGAACAACTTCGGATAATGTTAGTAATAGATGAAGATGATAATGAAAACTCTAAAGAGGAACTCGAATAAGAAATTAGAGAAACACCCCAATTATCCATGAATAGTATTGTGGGATTTACTTCTCTCCGATCCTTAAAAGTTTTTGGGGAATATTGATGATCACAAAGTCATAATATTGATAGATTGTGGTGCTACCCATAACTTTATTTCTAAGGAACTGGTAGAAAAACTATAATTAAAAGTGGATGACACTCCATCATATGTGATCAAGTTGGAGATGGTCACAAAATCAAATGCAAGGGAGTACGTAGAGAAGTTCCTTTGAAAGTGCAAGAAGTACAGGTACAACAACAATTCTTCTTGTTTGACCTCAGAGGCGTAAATGTTGTTTTAAGAATGGAATGGTTAGTAAACTTGGGAGAGATTATAGCCAACTTTGAACAACTAACATTGACCCTCAAGATTGATGGTAGAAAGGTGATTTTAAAGGGAGAACCTGAACTTTCAAAGAAAGATGCCTCACTTAATACTATGTTGAAAGCTTTGCATCAAGGAGAAGGGTTCCTTATTAGTTATCATTATATTCAAACAAAAAGAGATTGGAAAAATTCAATTCCTTCAGAATTAAAAGATATGCTAAATGATTTTCCCCCCATTTGAGCCTCCAGAAGGACTTCCTCCTCAATGACGTCAGGACCATGCCATTCACCTCAAAGAAGGAGCCCAAATACTGAATATTAGACAATACAGGTATCCTCACTATCACAAAACAAAGATTGAAAAATTGGTTGCTGAAATGTTAGAAGCAGGAATCATCAGACCATCTACAAGTCCTTATTCCAATCTTGTCATACTAGTAAGAAAGAAAGATGGTAGTTGGCGGTTTTGTGTAAACTACCAAGCCTTAATCAAAACCACAATTCTCGACAAATTTATCATCCAGTAATTGAAGAGTTGTTAGACGAAATAGGAGGGGTTCATATATTTTCAAAATTGGATTTAGGTTAGGATATCACCAAATCAGGATGAAGAAAGATGGCATTGAAAAAATTGCTTTCCACACACATGAAGGACACTGAATTTATGGTACTTCCATTTGGATTCATTAATGCACCTTCCTCTTTTCAATCATTAATGAATGAAGTTTTGCCGCCAATACTCTGGAAATATGCTTTAGTATTCTTTGATGATATCCTAATATATACAACCTTTCCATGGAAGAACACAAGCAACACTTACAAAATGTATTAACATTACTGCAACAAAATAAATTGAAGATTAATGGCAAGAAATGTTCATTCGGCCAAGCAAATTTGGAAATCTAGGACATGTTATTTCTGCTGGAGAAGTATCCGCAGGTCCTAAGAAGTTGGATGCGATAACACTATGACTTACATCCAAAAATGTCACCAGCTTAAGGTGATTCTTAGGTCTTAACGGCTATTATAGGAGGTTTGTTCATAATTATGGAAGAATAGCGAGGCCATTGACCAACTTGCTAAAGAAAAATGCCTTCCAATGGAATCCAGAGGCGCAAATTGCCTTTGAACAACTTAAACGAGCCATGACTAGATAACCTACATTAGTTGTTCTTAACTTTTAAAGCCTTTTGTGGTGGAAAATGATGCTTGTGGAACCGAATTAGGGGTTTTTCTAATGCAAGAAGGAAGACCCTTAGCCTTCTGGAGCACTACCCTACCTGAAAGAAACCAGAGGAAATCAATATATAATCGTGAATTAAGGGCAGTTGTGAAAGCAGTTAAAAAATGACGACACTACTTGTTAGCAAGCCATTTTATTATTAAAACTGACCAAAAAATTTGAAATTTTTGATAGATCAAAGGATACTCGGTGATGAACAATACAAAATTTTTAATAGATAAAAGGATACTCGACAAGGAACAATACAAATGGATCTCCAAATTGGCAGGATACGATTTTGAAATACAGTACAAACCAAGTAAGGAAAACTCTACTGCTGATGCGCTTTCCAGGAGAAGTTCCTATTATGCCATGTCAGTCTTACAAATTCAAGATTTTGAAGAATGGGTTGAAGGGATCAAACAAGATGACAAATTACAAAAAGCCATGCAAGACCTAATTATTGATCCCACATCTCATAAGGGTTATACTTTGAGGGATCATAAGTTGTTTTACAAGGAGAAATTGGTGTTGTCCAAGTCTTCCTCTCGGATTCCAATCATTTTAAAAAAATTTCATTCATCCTTGGTAGAAGGACATTTAGGTATCTTCAGGATTTACAAATGAATAACAAGTCCGGTGTATTGGGAAGGGATGAAAACCGACATAAAAAATTTCGTTGCTACTTGTGAAGTTTGTCAAAGAAACAAAAATGACAACTTATCTCTGGGACTGCTACAACCATTACCAATCCCAACTCAAGTATGGACATATATTTCTATGGATTTTATTGGAGGACTGCCCAAATCCATGGGGAAGGATACAATCTTGGTGGTGGTTGACCGACTCACTAAATATGTTCTCTTCATACCATTAGGCATCCCTACACTACTACCAAAGTTGCTGCAGTATTTCTACAAGAAATTATGAGATTACATGAATTTTCGTCTTCTATTGTTTCAGATTGTGACCCTCTATTTTCAAGCAATTTCTGGAAAGCCCTTTTTAAAGCAGCATGTGAACAACTGAAGTTTAGTTCAGCATAGCATTCCCAAACTGACGGATAGATGGAAGTGGTCAAACGATGTTTGGAAGTTTATTTACGATGCTTAAGTGGAACAAAGCCTAAGAAATGGGTTTCTTGTCTTCCGTAGGCCTAATTCTGGTTTAACACCAATTATAATGCTTCTAGCAAAATGTTCCCTTTCAAAGCTTTGTATGGACATGATCCCGCTCACATTCTTAAGGCAACCACCATTCCTTTTAGCTTTGAAGAAGTCAACAGACTTACAATTACTGGAGATTAATTATTGGTTACTCTAAGAGAGAATTTGCTAAAATTGCAAGATGTCTTGTGAACAAATGCCAACAAGCGCCGACGTGATATAGCATATGCAGTCGGTGATTGGGTGTTCTTGAAGATACAACCTTACAAGAGAAGGTCCTTAGCTAAAAGGATTAATGAAAAACTCTCTTCTCAATTTTATGGTAATTTCTAAGTGTTAAAAAAAGTGGATGCTGTCGCTTACAAATTGGATCTTCCATATCACAGTAAAATTCATCTTGTCTTTCATGTCTCTCTCCTTAAGAAGGCTATTGGTGATTTTTTCCGGTCCCAACCTTTACCACCTAAGTGATCTGAGAATCAAGAATTACAGGTTTATCCAAACTCTATTTTAGATATTCGTGAACTACAACCTGACAACGTGGAAGTCTTAATTCAATGGCAGAATCTCCCTCTAAGTGAAAATAGTTGGGAATCGATGGCTAAAATACAAGAGGTTTTTCCAACTTATCACCTTGAGGACAAGGTGAGTCTTTTAGGTGGGGGTATTGATAAGAATAAACCATCTATCACCAAGATATACACCCTTAGGAAACAAACAAAAGAAGCAACAATCCTAGACCACCAACAACAAGGCACACAACACTCAAAGGATGTGTAAAACAACCAACAATTATAATTCTGTTCATTTTTTTCTATCCTGTCTAGTTATTTTCTGTTCTTATCAAACCCCCATAACACAGCCAATATGATGGAAAAATGCTGGCCATTCCAGCAACTACGACACACTGAAATATTCCCCTTTTATCCCCATTTTGAGGTTGAACCTATTTTTGGGGTTATTCTAATGGTTTATTTAGATCAGAAACATAGTGTTTCTTGTTTCCGGTGTGATTTCCAGCAAACCCATGCATGCAGGCATCATTTCCCGTGAACTTATATATTGTTGTGTCAAATATGTGGTCAGTTTTCTCCAACTCTTCACTGTTCTCAGAAAAAAAAAACAGCTATGTTCTCTCTCAGAATTTTCTGGACATTCTATTTATTGAAGCAGATTCAATTCTCGGTGTGATAGAGTATATATAGTTCATGCATGTTCCTTTGTAATATAGTACATTCTAATGAGTAAGTATTCTGTTAGGATCTCAGTCAACAGTGGCTGTAACTATCATTCAGATGCTTGCTGACAAAGTCTGAATAAATAAGGGTTTAAACACTCAAAGTTTGTTTGGATGAGTGTCAGCAAAATTAGTTTGGAATGAATTTGATTTTCATTAAAATTGAATTTGAATGATGTAATTTATATTTGGATGTTTTCTTGTACAGCTTAGCAGTAAAAGTATAATTTTTTTATCCAACACAAACACCAAGCCAAATAAATTTTTTATCATAAACACTACCAATTCACCTTTGCCACCACATGAGGTGCCAAATTTCTCTCATTCACTACCAATCAGATCCTATGGCTTCACAGCCTCCTTTGACTGGTTATGTGCCTCATGCATCATATGCTACAAAATCATATTCTCTAGTGACTCCCATGATTCCAGCAAACAGTTGGGTGTAATTCTCCTACCCAATCTTTGAAAAAATTGATGAAAAGAAGTTTCTTTGGAAATAACAAATTGAGCCTGTTCTTGGGTCACAAGCTTCATGAATTTCTTGGAGATACCTCTCTCAAGCAAGTTATGATACTGATATCATAGTTATTAGAATCTTTCACAAATCCTATGATGTGTTACATTTCAGTAACTATCCACTTGTATAAGATGACTTCATATCAACAATGGAGGTTCTAAAATTTTTTTTAGGCTGCAGAGGCCCAAGAAGCTCTTGAAGAGGAGTCTCTTTCTAAAGTGGAGAGTGAAGTTAGACAAGAATTGAAGCAAAATCTTCAGGGGGATGATGTTCGTTTTTTTCTTTGTCCCTGATTGTTTTTATCCTTCTGTAATTTTTGCTAATGATTGGTGTGTCTTGGGTGTAGTTGGAAACTGCTGTTGCTGAAGAGATGTCTACGTTTAAAGAAGAATGGGAAGTTGTTCTGGATGACCTTGAAACAGAATGTGCTCACTTACTGGTTTGATTTTATTTTTGATTTTCAATAGATATTTTGGTTTGTAATATTGCTTTTCTATTTGTGCTGTTGTCAATTTTGCTCGAAATTTGTCTCATCTGTATTGGTCTGCTAATCTGCTGCCCATGATATTGATTTAGGTTGTGCTATTTATTTCTTTTCGCTATGATACTTAAAAAGTAAAATAACCTCAGAAAAATATTCATGCTGAAATTGATTAAAATATGTTTTACTTTGAAATTACCCAGATCACCTTTGACATATTGAGCTGTGAACTTAAACCTGCCATTTACTCACCTTCTATTTGAGCTGGGGGTGGGCCAGTGCATGAATGCTAGTTTTAGTATAAAATACAATGTTTTGAATGGGAGCATGAATAAGTTCCATATTTTGGACGATTCAGCATTGTGGAATGATTTAGTGACTTTGTTACTTATAGAAGTCTATGATTTTGATCTCACTCCTTGTGGCTTGTATTTTATATTAATTGACATAATACATACTGAATTCATTCCTCACAGTATCGACTTGTTGCTTCCTTGTGTTGTGTGGTTAATGGCAATTGAAGTTGTAACTCTGGAAATAGCATATCTGATTTGAGTAAAAAGTAGAAATGGAAGCAAACCACATATTGATTTCTATGTCTACGCATGAAGAAAACTTCTGAACCCAGTGTCGTGCTTACCTGTGAATCAAAATGTAAAAACCTCGACCCTGTAGGAATATTCACAACTCTGATGTCAAATGATGGAAATTTACGTAAGAATTTGCAAATATTCGTCTAACCATATAAAAGCACAACATCATCAAATGCAATTGGGTTTTGAGTACAGCCCTAATATATGTAAAGTTTAATTAGCATATACTTCATAATAACTAAAAAAATTTCCCTAAACAATTGCAGGCCTGATATAGGTCTTATTGACCATGAAGTATCCATATATATGCCAACTGGATATTAAGCTTTGTCGTGCTTTTTAATCACCCAAAAGGCTCCATTTATTTCTGAAACGTTCATTCAAGTAGACTGTTTGAAATGGGAATATTTTAGGAAATAAAAGCTTCTTTGATGTTTATTTTTTTAAGTAGCCTAGATACATGGTATAGGTAGCTAAATTCATGCATATGAAGGAATAGTACTATCCATGGCTATCAAAATTGCAAGTCAACTCATAAACCCATATGAATTTATGTTTTTACAGCCATGAAACGGGTTAACTTGTTTGCAAACTCATTTTGGAGTAAGCTTGTGAAACGTGAGCAAACTCGGGTAAAATTCCGAGTTCGGTTGGATCTTCATTTGGACGTTGATTTTGTGGTTTTCATCATCTCATCCAACTTGATCTGTAAATGTTGATTACAGTTGCAGAGGTGAGAGTAGAAAAACATACTCACTCTTGAAGAACCCATTGTATTGTGTGCCTTCAAGAGTGAAGATTATGCAGCAGAATTGCATTTCAGAAAGGGGATTTTGTGGCTGCTACAATTATTACACGTTGGGTTGTGTCATAATGGGTTTATGTGATTTTTTTTCTCTTTTTATATTTGTTGGGCCTTAACATAATTAGTTTCAGGTGATAATTACTTTCTAGCTTGTTTGAGTCCAATATATTTTTCATTGCGTTTGTTAAACAAAAAAAAGTTTGGATGAATTCTTTACTTGTTAAACCAAAAATTGCTATTTATTATATAATATAACAGTTTGTAAAAGAAGAACAAAAAATATAAAAAAACATTTAAAGAATAACATGTATAATATAATAACCAATAAAAACAATAAACTAATATATATATATATATATATATATATACACACACACACACACACACATATATAAGGTATAAAAGTTAAAACTAAAAATATAATAACCTAAATTATATAGTAGTTTTGTTCCTTCAATTTTTGAGTGTAATGTATTGACTGTATTGAGATATAATAGTTTTCTATTTTTCTTTATAATGAAATTAAAATATTGACTTATTATTTTGTTATGGGTATTTTAATAATGTTAAAAAAAATAAGTAACTTGCAGATAAAACTCTTGATTTTAACAAGCTTGTTGCTATCTTAATTATTCTCTTGTAATTTTTTTTTCATGGATTATCTTTGTAATGTCTTCAATGAAAGCAGTCCATTATGGCATGTGGAAACAAACTCAAGCACATTTAGAAAGAAAATTCTTTCTCAATTTCTCACATAGACTCAATTTGGTCCCTGCCCTGTTATGAACTTAAGCTATTAGTTACAATATAATAGACTGATTATCTCTTCACTGGAGCTCTTGCCAATGTTTCACTGAGAACCACCAACTTATCTCAGTTTTCAATTTTGGTTGACTTCCTTCCTTAATCTCTATTACTCTTCATTCAACCCTATTATGGTTGCACGCATTTGACCTTTCCCAGCTTTGTGTAATTGGCTTCCCTTTATTTACCTGCATGTATGGTTTTCTTTTCTCTCTTTCTCTCATTTCATTTTGTAAATGTGCTAGATTCTAACATTCCCAGTTGCTAATATTTTTGCTTGGTTGTGGAATTTCTTTGGAGTAAATTCTGCCTTTATTGAAATGTACTTGTGTTTTTCTTCTACTATTGATTGATATGATATTATGCAGGAACAACTTGATGGGGCTGGCATTGAACTTCCTAGCCTTTATAAGTTGATTGAAAAAGAAGCTCCTAATGTTTGCTCCACTGAAGCTTGGAAAAATAGGAATCACTGGGTTGGCTGTGTGGCAACTTCTGAAATTGCTGAGTCAGTTGCTGATGCTGAGAAGCATTTACAAGTAAACAGACCGGTTAGAAGGTATGGTTCTTATATGGTATTGTATCTGGAAACAATCAGATATGTTCTCTTATAGGTTTTTGGGATTGTTTCAGGCGACATGGTAAATTACTGGAAGAGGGTGCTAGTGGCTTTCTCCAAAAAAAACTTTGTGATGAAACCCAAGAGCCAGTGAAGAACGAAACTGCGCGGGATTGGGATATGTTCAATAAAATAGTTTCTGATGGGAGTGGTATTGATGCTTCATTTGGCAGTAAGCACTGGGCTTCTGTTTATCTGGCCAGCACTCCACAGCAAGCTGCCTTGATGGGACTCAAATTTCCAGGAGTTGATGAGGTGGAAAATATATTTTTCACTATGGTTACTGCTTTTATCTTTTATTGAATGTATATGTCAAAAAAGTCAAATGAAGGGGAAGAAAGAATAATTACTGGAGATAGCTGATCTTTGCAATTTTTTAATTTATAGTTCATTTCCCCTACCCCCGAATTTGAGATCCCCTGAATTTGAATTTTTGATGATTTGAACCATAAGTAGTGGTGTGCTGTGCAATAACATTAATAAATAAATGTCAGGAAATGGCTAGGGTAATTGTAGTGATACTATTTTATCGCATGGAAGATAGTATTAGTAATTCCCCTGATCTCATGTTTCATTTAAAAATGGTTTGTTAAGTTTTACTCAGTTACTTTCCTATACATTGTACAATGTAGCATGTGCTACCTTTTTTGTTCCCTGCTACCTACCTCGCATACTGGTTTGAATTTGGTATGTTGCCTCATAATATGGCATTACCCTTGCTTATGGATCCTGTGATTGTTGAATTGTTGCTTGAGGATTCATGAATTTTCTTTAGTCCTGTTTGTACGGTTTTATTCTATATTAGCTAATTTTTTTGGTATTGGGTCTGGAATTTTATTTCTTTTTCATGAATACTTAAGTCATAGTCCTTTGCATATTTTAAAATATTATGGCAGCTGTTTAACATAGCATGTTAATTATTATTATTTTTTTCTTTAGGTGGAGGAGATTGATGATGTTGATGGAAATTCTATGGATCCATTTATTGCAGCTGCAATTGCAAATGAAAGAGAATTAGATCTTTCTGATGAGCAAAGGAGACAATTTAAAAAGGTTAGTTAACAATTCATATTTTTAGTTATCAAGTAAAATGGGATTCTGGTTCTTGTACGTGTTTGATTTAGTGTGTCTTGGGGTTAACTTATTTTGAAGAAATGATCATCTTTTTTTTGTTAGCCTCCTATGCTAGCTTTTGAAAAAAAATAAAATAAAATTATTTCCTAAAATTAAGCTGTTGCCAAAATGTTTAGGCTTTAAATTATGCAAACATGTCATGTTTGTTTTCTTGTTATCAATTTTGAGTTTTTTGATGAGTAACATGAAACAAGGTTGACTAATTTGAGAACTATATAGTATAATTAAGTAAATGAGAGATTGAATTGTAGTTGTGAATGTCAAACATTTTCAAGGACCAAAATGACTGTTGGTTGAAGTCCTACATGCCTCATATCATGTGGTATGGTTTAAATACCTGTTAATCTACTCCACATATTATCAGTTGGTTATATGTTGGAACCTTAACATGGTATCAGAATTAAAACCTAACTTCTTTTCGGTTGTTATCTTGAGCCAAAAAGTTGTCCTTTCGTTGTGGGTCAAAAGTATCATTTGCCTGGTCCGACAGATTTTGTTGGAGGGGGCGTGTTGGAAGTCCCACATCGCCTGCCTCATGTTATGTGGTATATACCTATTAGACTATTCCACGTATTGCCAATTGGTTTTATGTTGGAATCTTAATAACTGTTTAGTACTTATTTATTAATAATAAGTTTTTCTAAAGTAAGATGTTATTTGGATTTTGTTTGACAGATGTTTGATTTTCCTTATTTGTTGCTAAAATGTTTCAAATTAGCCATCTGTACAAGGTTGTCAATATTTTTGGAAATTTTGTAAACTTGACTTGAAAACTCCTTCAGTTTACTTAATATAAAATATTAAGATACCAATAAATAACATAATTATTCAATATTTTAATTCCTTAATAAGGCTAGCAAATTATAATATCTCAACTCATTACAGTCAGAAATTGAAGGAACAAAACCAATGTGTATTTAGTTTTTTAAATTTTTATATCATATATTATTATCTATTTAGTTATTTATATTGTATGTTATGCTTTAAATTTTTATTTATGTTTTTAATTTTATTGTATATTTTATTATTCATCTTCTCTAATTTATAATCATTTATGATAATTATATAGTGAATAACAGTTCTTGATTAACTAGTTAAAATTCAGATATTTTTTGGTTCAGTAAACAAAAGTATTAAAACTTGAGCCCCAGTAAACAAAAGGATTAAAACGCACCCTAACCTAACTAGGATCCGACCCACTAGTTGTCTTTTTGGCCAGCGCCGCAAGTAAAATTTCCCTAACAGAGATCTGTTTTTTGGAGTGGTTTGCGGGCTCAATGGGTTATATAAGAGCATAGCGGCACTGTTCTGCTCCACACCTCCACAATCGTGCCATTGACATCTATGGAGCAGATTAGTGAGAACCTTGAAATCTACACCCAGAACGGAAATTCCAATAGCTAGAGCTGTACTGAACTCGTAGAACTGCCTCTGAATTCATGATTTTACATGAGTTTGAGTAAGTTTGCTTGAGTTTACACGAGCTTACATGAAACCAAGTTGCAAACAAGTAAAACTGTTTCATTGTAGTTTACGAGTTGGCTCGGATTTTTTATAACATGCAATCTGTGTATTTTTTGTGTATTGGAAGAGTTGAAAATTCAAATCTGGTAGTCATTGATTTAGATGTTAATATCTTGGTTAAATTTCTGTTTTCTTTCTTATTTTTCTTAATTTGTTCTGTGAATAATTCAATTTGAGATTTTGTTAATGAGTTTAGACTCTTTGCTTTGTTTCATTGCAGACATCATTTTTAGTTGTCTTGAGTTCTTTTTGAACTTGGTTCTTATTGTACAACCTTTTTTTTCTTAATATGTCCAATTTGGAATGAAATAGTTTTTGATTTCTATATAGATTTGGTTTTTGGTTTATAATGTCCTGTTTCAGGTAGGTATTTATGTCTCCATGTTTTAGCATACTATTAATTCCTGGACTCTTTTTTTCTCTCCTTTTTCAATGTAGTCGCCTATGCATAAGGTGTCTATTCTTATCTTTGTTTCATTTCCTACTTGTGTTCTTAAAATATCTTTATGGAGTAATCCAATGGCTCAGTTATTGAATTATTGATATCGTGCAATAGACACCCAATGACAATATAGAGGTGCAGATTGGCATGTGCTGCAAAAATACTTGAATAGTGGTCTGTTTTGAATGTCAGTGCCAGAGTAAGATATTTCAAAAACCTTATTTTTCTTCTCCCTTCATAGTGCTGGCAAACCCTAATTGGAAGCTAGTTTCTTCACCCATACTTTTCTCTACTGTGTGACCAACACCTAGCTATCTCTTGCCGTATTGTCAGTGTTGATACTCACATTCCATTTTTTTTCTATGTTTTAAACCCTGAAATGCCTTTGTTCTGAGCTGAGTTTTAATTTTTTTGAGCATTTGTTCATGTGAGTTTATTATAAATTACAATGTACACATTTTTTTCTCTGTTCTGAACTCTTAACCTCATTTTAGAATGTTTAGGGGAGCTGCTATGCTCTGCTATATGACTACAAAATTGGCATTTATTCTTGTGGCCATATAAAATTAGTTATGGTCTTTGACATCTGGCCTTTTGAATAAACTGATATGCTAACATATACCAAACTGGTGTATGATACATCAGTACATGTAGAGGTATTCCATACTAATTAATGTTACTCATCTACATATTTTCTTCTTCATGTCAGTATATTCTTTCCTGTGTTAAGGAAGTTGATTATATTTTCATGCACTTTTTTACAGGTCAAAGAAGAAGATGATGCAATTGTTGATAAGAAACTTCAAATCCGTTTGAAACATAGGAGGTATAAAAAGATAAGTAAACAGGTGAGTTTTATAACTTCTTTCTCCTTGTTTTTACTTTACCCAGTGAATGTCTGACATTACTTTTGTGTATTTTTGTTATAGATGCCATTTTTGAGATTTTTTACGCAAATGTTTTATTTGTGTGTAATTTACCAAATTAATGATTCTGTGTATGGTTTAAATAAAATAGAGCTTTTTGGTATTCATAATTGAGTATTATCATTGATAGAAATCGTATGTCTTATTGATGATTGCATTGATTTGGTTTTGTTCTGTTGACAATGTCATATCCTATTACTAATTCGGATTGTAATTCAGGGAGAAATGAGCATACCTATCCTGTTGACGGAGAGCCCCACACAGAATCCTTCATCTGTTGATCATTTAAACCCTGTTATGAAAGAAGGAATTACTGATGATGGGAAAAGAGTGTCTGACAATGGCAAGGATACATGTGTTCTTCTGGAGACTAATAATAATAAAGGTTTTGATACTAGTCATCATCTTGACCAAGAAAAGCTTAGAAGTAATGGTGGCTTGTCAGATCCACTCAAATCCTCAGTGGATGATGTTATTGAACAGAGAGGAATCAAACGTGCAAGCAGTAGTGAGGTTGATGCTGACAATAAAAAATGTCGGATTCTTATTATTGACAGTGATAATGAAGCAGAGGTCATCAAAGAGAAATTAGATGGCAATACTCAAGAAGTAAAAGACGAATTACTTAACAATGGTACTGGTTCTCTTCCTTTGGAGCGTCTGGAAGAAAACTTTTTGTGCACAGTTTGTGATAAAGTGGCTCTTGAAGTGCATCCACACCCTCTCTTGAAAGTAATTACTTGTGAAGATTGCAATTGCTTATTAAAGGAAATGACACATCAAAAGGTATGAGTCTAAATCTACTAATATTTTGCTTTGAAATTGTACTAGAATCCTGAGAGATATTTTGTGCATAATTGCATACTTCTGTTTTAGTATATTAGTGAACCATAGGTTTACTATTAAAAAAATTCAATAAATGTTTTTTTAAGTTTGAATCCTTAAGGTTTTGGTCATCCCATTTGAGGACAAGTATCTATTTTTCTTGTGTAAATTGGTAAACAATTCTGTCTTTGTTTGCTTTGGCGGAAGAAAAAGCTATTCATTTAAGCAGCCTGAAAAAATATTGTTGGTCAAAGTAATGTGTTTCATTAAATATTAGTAGATAGCATTTCCCTCATTTGAGCTAGGCTGATCAATGCAGTATTTTAATCTCTACTTAATATTTCTATATTCTTCATAGGAGTCTCAAACTCAATCTTACTGCTTATTTGTCACAGGATCTGGGACAAGATTGTTCGGAGGGTTACTGTACATGGTGTGGAGGAAACAATGAATTAGTTAGTTGTAAATTATGCAATATATTATTCTGCACCAAATGTTTAAAGAAGAATCTTGGTGTAGAATTGGTTCCTGGAGATCAGGCCTCTAGCCGGCATTGTTGTTGTTGCCACCCAAATCTTCTGCAAAGACTATCCTTGCAACTAGAGAAAGCTGTGGGGTCTGCTAATGTAATAGTTTCTAGTTCTAGTAGTGATTCAGATGATTCAGATAATTCAGATAATTCAGATGATTCAGATGATTCAGATGCACAGATTAATGTTACAATGAGGTGAAGTCATATTTACAGCTTTAATTGTCAGAACTTTTTATGGCTTGGTTATTTTCCAGAAAATCTAATTACTTCATGCTCATGCTTTTATCCTTAGATTGCTGATTGTCTTTTTCTGCTTTATAAGACTATTAATTTCCTCCGACATAATGGCTTATACATATGTTTTTATTATTATTATTCTAACTAACTATTGACAATTTATAGTCGAGGCTTAGGAATTAATGGTATTGGTTGAGGGTTAGTGATGTTTACATTATCATCATTCTTGTATTAATATTGTTCTGATGATGATTAAGAAAATAAAGGTGGTTTGAAAAACATTTAACTATTTTTTTTCTCTTGATCTGTGGAATGTATATATCAGTTTGAAAGATTTATTTGATGACTTGTATGTATTTCTGTTGAATGTGATTGTCTTCATTGTTGTTTCATCTTGGATATTCTTTTAATCATTTCTTATAAGAATTCATATAACTAACTCTCTTGAGACTTAAGTATAAGAGGAGAGCTCAATTTAAAAGATTTATCCATTAGATGGGGGAATCTCACGACAATTAAGTCTTTTATTCTATTCAATGTGAGGTTGCTAATGTAGTCCCCTAATTTAAGAGCCAATGCCCAATATGGCTTTCACACTGTAGAATTTAGAGAAAAGAGAAAGTATAGAATAAACTGAACTATTGGTCGAGAGAGTACGATACATCGGTGTAAAAGATGGAGTGGGATATGTGAGGAAAAAGAACTTAAATTACTTCCTTTTTCTGAAGGAGTCGTCATTTTCTATTAGGAACGCTATGTCATTTACAACCCCGGCGTATTTCGGATGCTTGAAGGCCCCCCTGACCCGAAGTGATTTTGTTATTCCATTCTATGCAATCTTATTAGAGTTAGAGTATTTATAGAGTGTAATTCAGAGTGCTAGCTCTATCAGACTGACAGCTGTTGTAAGTTTGTTGTTACCAACTCAACAGCTGGCATAACTAACTGAGTTAGTGCTAAGATAACTGAAAATCTTTACTAAGAGTAAAGCCTATACACTATATTCACTATAACACTAATGACACTGACCCAATGGTAGCCCTTTTTCCTTTAATTGCTTCACTCACATATAGTATTCAATATTGCAACTTAATCCACCATTTAGTAGCCTTTCCACAATCCAACTTTCAATTACGTCAACAATTGTTGGACATTAGTACAATAGGAAAGCCCAATCAGAAGACTGGTCTGCTAGGTGGGAGAGCCTCATGATTTAATTACCACATTAAGGTTTTTATTCTACTAAATGTGAGGCTCCTAACATTCTCATTTGATATGAAATCATATGCACAGTTCACATGCATTTTTGTTGGGCTATTTTAACATTACAGTAGTTACCAACTAAAGTCTCCTTTTCTAAATGTCCAGATGTTCATTCTCAGACTTTTATTTATTATTTACAGCTCCAAGCGAAGACACAAAAAGAAGATTCGTAGGATACTTGATGATGCTGAATTAGGAGAAGAGACAAAGAGGAAAATAGCAATCGAAAAGGTGAGCCTTGTAAATTTTAGTTTGCCAAAACTGGTTTTGCTGGGCTAAATTGTTCATTATCTTCTCACTGCTGTAGGAACGTCAGGAACGCCTGAAGTCTTTAAGAGGGCAGTTTTCTGCTTCGTCAATTGAGATGTGCTCTGATGGGTGTAATAGGAATTTATCAGAAGGTGCAACTGTTGAAGTTCTTGGAGATGCACAAGCAGGTTACATAGTGAATGTTGTGAGGGAGAAAGGTGAAGAAGCTGTTAGAATTCCTCCTAGCATCTCAGCTAAGCTAAAGGCCCATCAGGTTTTTTATTTTTTATGGAGTTGCTTCTCTGGATATTAATTCTCATTTCTTTTTGGATTTTTTCATTCTACCTATTTCTTTCTTTATTTATCCTGATTTATTTATTTTGGAATAATGAACCTTATTAGGATTAAATTTAGATATAATACCTACACTTGCTTTTGGTTGAGCTTTCAACTTTATTTGCTTAGCTGTGGACGCAAAGGAAAAATATTAAGCTATATGTTGGATGTCAGTTTGGTGCTTCTGGATGTTAGACTGACTCTTTTTTGTCTGGTGTTTTAGCTGGAGGATTTTAGGAAAATCTGAATAGCTGTTTGGACTTTTAACTTGCAATTGGCTCCATGTCAAACAATTATAATCAGACAACATGGACTCTAAATCTTGAATAGTTAAAATGCCTTCATTTGCAACAAGAATAAATGTTCAGGAAAGCTTATTTTTCAGTAAATAACCGTTTTTAATATCTCATGATCATGTAAAAAGGAGATTACTCCTTTAAAATAAGGCAAACCAAACATGCACAAAAGGTGGTTTAATTGCTATTCAAGGGGGATACCATAGTAGTAAGGAGTATGAATAAGTCATACTTTTCACCTGTCTTACATCTTCCATTTCTTCATTTGAACCTTTTATTGCCATATTGAAGCATCTTTGAAGTTATTACATGGGGTTTGTTGGTTTTTTCTAGATTTGGTACTTTTCTACAATTTAATTTGTCGCATGTTTGCAGATATCTGGAATAAGATTCATGTGGGAAAATATAATACAGTCTATCAGGAAAGTGAAGTCTGGGGATAAAGGTCTTGGATGTATTCTAGCTCATACCATGGGCCTTGGTAAAACATTTCAGGTATTGTACTCAATATGGAGATTTTTTTACGTAGATATAACTGAAGAGTGAATTATTTTTTGTTTAAAATAAATGTGAGAACAGGGTTTTGCGGCACAATTTTAAAATTTTTAGTAAACCATACATATTTTTTCCTTCCTTCTTTCAATCATTTTTAAAAAATTATTCTGTAACATTTGATTGTGCTAATCTGTTCTTTTCTAAATTGAAGTTAAATAAAATTGAACAAATATTACTCTAGATTTTGGCTCTGTTTATGTCTTTTGTGGGATAGTTAGTCTTCAATTTTTAGCTATTATTCTTATTTTTGCATCAATGTCACTGTTCATATTTTTGTAATTGTAGTATCTTGTTCCTTTTTTTAATAGTCTAGTGTTGTTTCTCTTTTTAAAGATAGAAAAGTTTTGTTCTAATTGTGTGCATTCAGTATATATTCACTGCATTAAGTTATACGTGGGAATATATCAAAATACTCCTGTAGATTCTGCTGTATGCCAGCAAGCTACACAACAGGGTGGAACAGGGATAATTTACCACACACACATACGGATGTATCCAGTGAGAGTTCAGGGTGTGAGAGGAGTATATATTAGCCTTAACAATTTAAATGGATGGTTAAAATTAAATTAACTAAAATAATCTTGAATATTGATTGTTAGCTTTTCTCACTCTGATGCTCTCATTAGGTCTGCTCCCCCACCCCCCATATATATGACAATCATTAGGTATGTTCTCATTAGACTGAATGATGTTCTTTAATCTATCTGTTTCTCTCACCTTTCCCTCTATCTTCTCTATTCTGTTTTCTTCTCTCTTTAAGCTTTCTTTCTGTATTTCTTTTTCTTTCTCTTTCCTTACAAAATCCTATATCAGTTGGCCTCTCAAAGAGCCAGAGTAGGAGACTATTGTAATTCTTAATTAGTTTTGTCGCCCTGGTCAGGTCTTAGCAACCATTTCCAGAGAATTAGATTCATTAATTTATTTTCTTTGCCTACCATTCTTGACAGCCTCTCATTAATATAAAAAATAATAAGGGAAATTATGAAGAAATCTAATTACAAATTCAAAGAACAAAAGGATATTTTATTTTAGTTTTCTGTATTCTATTCATCTGTTGTGAATAATTTGTGTAACATTTTTGGATAGATTCTCCTTTCTTTTGTTGTTTGATGGTTTTGGACTGATGACTGATTATGTTGGAACTTTTAGGTGATAGCTTTTTTGTACACTGCAATGAGATGTGTTGATCTGGGTTTAAGAACTGCGCTTATAGTCACACCTGTCAATGTGCTACATAATTGGCGGCAAGAGTTCATTAAATGGAGACCTTCTGAGTTAAAGCCACTCAGGGTCTTCATGCTGGAAGACGTATCAAGGTTTGCTTATTATTTTGTTGACATCATTATGCTGTTCACTAGATTTAAGGCCTGTAACAGAGGACTATCCCATTGCAGTTAAAATATAACCAAAAACTAGTTTTTACTACATATACTTCATTCTATATGAAACTGATCTGGGGCCTTGCATTTTTAACATTTAAACAACTCCAATTCTTAAACTTGGTGGCTCTCTCAAATCTGTCCATTTGTTGGAAATAATTCTTGATAAAAAGTCATTGAATTTTGCATTAATTTCTTGAAAATTTTAAGGACCTGTTGAGTTTGCATGTTTGTATGTCTTGTAATATGAAGTGCTGTATGAATACTCATTAAATTATTTTCCATGAATAGATATCTTATTATATCTGCATTTTGCTCTGTTGTTTTGGATTTTCTTTCTATTATCCTCCTTTTGTTGTGTTCTATATCTTGAATCTTAATTAATGATTTTTATGATTTAATCACAAGATATTCATCTTTTACTATTTCACGATATTATTTATCACAATTAGGCATTGATAAGTACCCTCCTATTGCTATATATTAAAAAAAAAAAAATTTAAAAGGGTGAGCATTTGATGGCACACAGGTGGAAGGGATGGAGAATGTACTGGCAACTAACTTCCTGCATATGTGTCAATGTAGGATTGTCAGTCTGGGGGGAGAGAGGTCCTTTGACTTTCCTTTCTAATGGTTTCTATTTTTATATTGTTTTCCTGCAGTTGTAACTGACATGATTAGTCAATTACAACTACTTCTCTATATGGTAATTCTCTGATCAATATATAGGCTTCTGCAATTCGTTATGTACATATTCAATTCAGTATCCTTACACTTTTCTTTGAGTAAGGTATCAAGAGTATAGTGATTCATGGGCTCAAAAAATATTCTACCACCTTTTCCTTTGCCACTTACAGTGACTCCAGCAATAGCATTGCAAACTCACCACAACAATTGATAGTGGTTTTGCTGCCTCTGTTCCATTTCAAGCTCCTGTCACGTTTTCTCATGAAATTTTAGAGAAACTTGATGAGAATTTTTTCTTGCTATGGTATCTACAAGTCACATTGGTTAGTAAAGCACTTAGGTTGCATCATTTTGTTGTGGCTCCAAAAACTCCTTCACATTTTCTTTGTGAAGAGGATCGTATGAATGCAAATTATCTTGATTGGGAACGAGATCAAATGTTGTTAGCTTAGCTACAATAGTCTCTTTCTAGTGCATTCTTGCTTGCATCCTTGGTTGCATTCACTCTTGATAGGTCTTTCTTTCTTATATGTTGCTCAACTTTCTCATTTTTACTCAATGTGAGACATAGACTTACACTTTGATTTTTCCAACAATCTTCTCCTCAAGTGAGTTCCTTCACATTGGTATATCTCTCTCGAGTTCACTAGTGACCCTTACTTGGACAGTTGTTATCATAATGGGATACACCTGTCTAACCTAGTGTCAGAAAGACTTTTGATACAAAGATTACTCTTACACGGTTGGTCATCACACAAACCATCGACTCTGATACCACTGATGGGTCTTTCGATGGAGGATATATCAGGGAGAGACAACACTAATGAGGCATGAACCCAACCCGCATAAGGGATTGATACCATCTTTAACAAAAAACCTTAAGACATTAGGGTTATGGATTTTTATTTTTTTATATGTTGTTTAACTTGCTCGTTCTTACTCAATGTGAGACTTGACTCGCACTTTGATTTTCCATTCGAATTTTCATCATCAAACTTGTATGAAAGCTGGACTTATGGTATGAGTTGTGTAATTCTTCTCTAGATAATCATGCAATAGTTGAATATCTTTTTCGAATGAAAACTCTTGTTGATTCTCTTGCGTTTGTTGGTGATTTGGTTTCTTTGAAAGAACATTTTGATTCAATTCTTAAAGGATTACCTCAAATATGATTCAATCATGCATTAATTTAAAGTCAAATTGTAATTATTTTGATAGAAGTCAAAATTCTTGCTCATGAATTGTGACAACCGAAGTACATGAAGAGAACTATTTCAAATTCAACATTTTCTCCATTTATAAATGTTGCCCAAACACCCACACATTCTCGGTCTTTTTCCAATGATCATCAGGTTCAACTTAATGGTAATGACACAAATCTTGAATACACTAAATTTTGTGATTTCTTTAGGGACAGAAATGGTCATTCTAATAATGGAAAAGGATCCAATGGTCGTAGCTCCATACATTGTCATGTATATTTCAATTGGATGTTCATGATGCTTTTCTCAATGAAGAAGTTTGTATGGTTAAGCTACTGGGTGTTGAAGCAGCTTATATTTCCCTTGTTTGTAGATTTCATAAAGTCATTTATAGTCTCAAACAAGCTCTGCGAGCATGGTTTGATAGACTAAAAAACAACAGTACTGCAATTTAGGTTCAAAGAGAAAAATGTGATCCCTCTTTATTCATCCACAATCATCAATCATATATTGTAAATTTTTAGGTATATGTTGATGATATCATTATCATAGACAATACTCTTTCTTTTCTTTTGGCGGGAAGGGCGAAAATGGGTCAGATTGGCCTGTGGTGCCACCTAATCTTTAGCTTGTGGGGGTGTTAGAGATATTTATCTTTTCTGTTCTATCAATTATAACTAACTAGATGTAAGAGCTTTTTCTCTTTTCTGTTTCTTGTCAGTTGTAATTGACATTTCTGTTTTCAGTTGTAACTGATATGATTAATCAGTTACAAACAACTAAATATCGACATGTTAGTAATTCTCTAATCTATATATAATCCTGTAAAAGAGAACTACTAACACTTCATATTCAATTCAGTAACAATACAATTTTCTTTCAATAAGATTCAATAGTCTAACCATGGTTAAACTAGTAATTATTAAATGTTATTTTTTAATTTTTAACATAATACATTTATTAATATTAAACAAGAATAGCATAATATTTATATTACATAATGTTTCTAATTTGGAGGCTAAAATTGTATGAACTATCATAATATTGAGTTTTTTAAAAATTAAAATGTTTCTCTTCCAATGATCTGGTTTTTCATCGATTGGACTTGCCAGTTGACCAACTATGCCTGTTAGACACCAAAGAACCTGTAATAACAACAGTTTAATGGCAAGATCCATGTGGCTATATCCCCCTTTCAATTTGTTAATACATTTAGCACAAAAATCATCTTATTAGTATATTTTTATTTTCCCAGAGATAGAAGAGAAGAATTGCTTGCAAAATGGAGAGCTAAAGGTGGTGTGTTTTTGATTGGTTATACTGCTTTCCGAAATTTGTCTTTTGGGAAGCATGTGAAAGATCGGCACATGGCCAGAGAAATTTGCCATGCTTTGCAGGTAAGTCTACTTGTTGTTAATAAGTTGATTTATACTTCATTGTGTTACATAATTAGACATTATATTCAACTGAGTATGTAAATTATGCTTAATCTTCTTGTTAGTACTCATATTATGAGTGCTTTTAGTATAGTATAATAACTACTATAATATAACTATATTTCACTAATATTCCAACATGTTATTAAATATACGCCAGTTAATCTAGGATGCATTTTTTGTGTTCTTTTTTAATAAAATGATATTTTAAATTAAAACATTACAAAAAATTATGATAATTAAATTAGTTTCTTGAACAAAAAGCTATATCACTTGAAGAAAATTGATTTTCTCAAAAACTAGAAAAAAATAATAGCTCATGAAAAGCTCTAACTTTTTTCAAAGAATATACACCCTATACTAATTGAAAACATTGACCTTTTTTCAATTAACTTCAATGATAATTTAGATTTTTTTTGTCTACCCATGTTTCGTTTATCTTTTTGTAGATTGTTTGGTTTATGAAAATAAAATTTAGGGATGTAGGTTGAGAAATTGTTAAACCCCCCAAGGGTAATAATAATATGTAACATAAAAAAATGTCATTTAAAGTGATATGCATTAATACTATGGAGAGTTATTTGAAAAGGTTAAAAAACATAGGATATTGTGAAATTTAGCTTAAAATTGAAGCGGGGTTATAATCTATATAGCATGGCTGGAGAGAGAACACAACTAAATAAATTATTCCAAACATTGGATGACAACTGTTGAGACAAATGAGCACTGTGTTGGAAGGATACCACATCCAAAAGATACAAACATAAATACCAAACAGCTTGGACTGAAGAACAGCACTGAAAGAGCTGTTGGCAATGTAAGTAGGTTTTCTGCAAACAATATTGATGGCATACAATTCTGATACCAGTGCCTTTTTTAAAATTATTATTTGGAGAAGTTTAAATATGATGAAAAAGGTGGTGGATTTCTGGCTAGAAAAGGGGGTTTGACCAAAATGAGCCAGTAGACTAGGTCTGGAAAATGGCCAGGAATAGTGTAAAGATGCCTTTGCATTCACCAGAAGGCTGCTGGAGATGGGATATGTATGTTGCACGTAGAAAGTGATGCTTAAATTTTGAGGTCCTATAGATCTACACTTTCTGGTTTTATTTTTGGGGGATGGATTGCAGACTGGGGAAAGTCAAGGAGATATGGCAGCCACAACAGAGAGGAAAGAACAGGACATTGAATATTGCAGCACCGTATATATTTTAGGAATGTAACAGTAGAATAGTAAATGGATTAGTCCTCCTAGCTCTTGAATAATCCTAATATTGAAATTTGTCTCATTTCTAATTGCATTCCTTTGACATTGTTGATATGCTGCTGCAGGATGGTCCTGACATTCTTGTTTGTGATGAAGCCCATATGATAAAAAATACTAAGGCCGATGTAACTCAAGCCTTGAAACAAGTAAAATGCCAGAGAAGAATTGCTCTTACTGGATCACCGCTTCAAAACAATCTCATGGAATATTACTGTGTAAGTTTGTCTAGAGGTTACAAATTAGATGACCATTAAGTTATTGCATGCAGTCTTTTGACTCTTTGCATTTTATCTTAAATAGATGGTTGATTTTGTAAGAGAAGGTTTTCTTGGAAGCAGCCATGAATTTCGGAACCGGCAAGGCTTTCTTTCCACATTGTTCTGGCTTTTGCTAATTTTAAATTTTTTTTCTCTCTAACTAAATTTTTTGATTTATGTTCAGCTTCCAAAATCCTATAGAGAATGGACAACACACCAATTCAACTCTGATCGATGTGAAAATTATGAACCAGAGGTCTCATATCCTCTATGAAGAATTAAAAGGCTTTGTTCAAAGAATGGACATGAATGTGGTGAAGAAGGATCTACCGCCCAAAACTGTCTTCGTGATAACTGTCAAGCTTTCACCCTTGCAGAGAAAATTGTACAAGAGATTTCTTGATGTGCATGGGTTCACTACGCAGGAGCATCCTGAATTGTTAAGGAAGAGATGTTTTTTTGCTGGGTACCAGGCATTAGCTCGGGTAAGTGAGCTTTGTGGAGCTTGGTTAATTTAATTTTCTAGCGATATTAGTATATATTATGATCTATGATAAATTGATATGGTATGGGGTCCAATCCATGTAAGGCGATATGGTCAATTCTTTAGATAGGGTACGAAACATAAATTGAGCAAGAGTTAGTTTCCTACTATATTATTTCAAGACAGCTGATTTTGATATTTTCAAAAAATTGTGCTCTTCTTCCGGTAGTTCTTTCTTGTAAAAGGAGGCTTAAGAAGCTGAAACTATTTAAATTTTTTTAATATAAAATTATGCTAATGTCTACTATAGGACCATGCAAAGTTGTGTAAATGACTTCTAACGTATTTTTCTTTTCTAAATACAGCCGGTTTCTGAAAGTGTACTAGAAGTGATACATATGGTCTGAATGTGATATATTTTTTTATTTGAGTATATGATGGCTTCACCATTTTTATGTTTTACATGAAAATTTGATATGTGTTCATGTTGAAATTAATATTTTCTTTTAACTTTTGTAAGATTTTAGAAACGTTAAATATAGACACCAAATTTGGGAATCCTTTTTTTATTAAGTTTAGATTAATCGGGAGTTTCTTTTGGACTGGGGTTTATGCAGTCAATAATTGGCTAAATCTTGGTCTGAATTTTGTAAGAAAATTTATGATTGGATTTTGTCAATTAGGATACTAGTTTCTTAGGCAAGCTTCTTTGCAGAGGTCTGATACGAAACAATTTTTTTGGGGCATTGATACTTTATTTGATAAGTCACTCGTTTTACTGCAGAATATTGCGTCCCAATGATAATTGTTTTTTTAGTAGTTTATTTTTGTATTATACCATTTTACAGTGCGAGGTGAAAATTGTATTAAGTATCAGATAATAATGAATGGATGTTGTTTCACATTTCTCAAAATTGATAGTGACTTTCTTAAATTTAATAAATGTTTTGGCTTTTGAGCTGAAATGAAATGTCATTGTTTCTTGGACATTTGATGGTTGATAAATGGGCTTTTGCCTGTAGTAGATATGGAACCACCCAGGGATCTTGCAGTTGACAAAAGAAGCAAAGGATTATGCAAAAGATGAAGATGCTGTTGAGAATTTCCTTGTGGATGATAGTTCCAGTGACGAAAATTCCGATTATAATGTTCTTGCTGGAGGTAAGTCTTCCATGTATTGGACTACAAACACCTCTTATTTTTTGCTTCTAATATTCGTTTTTGTAATTGATGAATATTGTTGTTATTTGACTGAACCCTCTATTTTCAGTTTTTTTTTTTTTTTTTTATGTATTTCCTTAATCTTATTATTGTTAGTTTGTCCTAGTATGCTATGAATCTCTGGAAACTTGTTCTCTGTGCAAGTATTGAGATAATACACTTCTGTGGGGGTTTATATTGAGGAACAAGTTGTTCTGAAATCTGCGAACATAGTTTCATTGTCTCAAGTGCCATCAAATTTATGATGGGACAAATTTTTCTCTCTGTTTTGGTGGCACAATAAGAATAGGTCAGAAAATAATTCTGATAGATGATCAAATGTTGCTATTTTTTTTTTTTTTAAATGTTTGTGATGGTACAAATGGGGAAAGAATATGTTTATCTTAATAGGATCTTTCAAACAAATAGATGAGGTAACTTAAATTGTTGCATTTTTGGGCTTAATGTGAGGAGCTTGGGGTATGGTAATCTTTTGGAATTATTCCTACATGTCTTATTGTATTTTTTAACAACCCATTACTTTGCAGAGAAGATGGGGTATGCAAATGACTTGCTGCAAAGGAAAGATGGTAATGGCTTTTTCCTGAAGGTATGAAGTTAAACAAAAATAAGTTAATGAATGAGATTCAATGTTAGTTGTTTTGTTTGTCCAAATCCTGAAGATATTATGCTAGATTGTGTGGTATGAATTATCCTTTTAAAACACATACTTTCAGTTGTGATGCTTCTTAGTTTTCACGTTCCAGGGTTGGTGGAATGATCTTCTTCATGGCAAAATATATAAAGAGATTGATCACAGTGGTAAAATGGTTTTGCTGATGGAGATACTAACAATGAGTTCTGATGTGGGTGATAAGGTATTAGTTTTTAGTCAGAGCATACCAACACTAGACCTGATTGAACTTTATCTCTCAAGGATACCTCGACGTGGCAAACGAGGAAAGTTTTGGAAGAAGGGAAAAGATTGGTATAGGTGAGTGCTGATTTTGTTAAACCTGTTCAACTTGATGCTACTCTTCAATCTATCTAATTTTTTTTCTATTATAATTTTTTAAACACATTATGTGGTTCTAAATGTATGTTTTCTTTCTTAAACACTCTCATCTGAAGACATTGTCTATGTGGGGATGATCTATCTTTACTTAGATTTTTAAATTTCTTTTTGATTCGGTTTCTTAACACCCTTCTGTATATATCTTTTTATTGGCTGATTTGAATTTTTTTTTCATTTTTTTTCTTGTGTGGTTAAAAATTTATGATGAAACCACAAATATGATTTTTCATTAGATACATAGCTTAAGTAAGTTGGTTAATTCAGCAATACTTTTGGAAAGGCAGACAGTTTATAATCAAACAAAAATTTAGTTTCAAGACTTACCAACCATCTTTTGGTTTGAATACTTAGTCCTTATTCGCATCAATTTCCCTATATTTTTTTTTTAGACGCAAATTACTAATTTCACAAGTTTAGGATTTGGTCCCCATAGTTTTCACTCAATTTAGGTTTTGGTCCCTATACATTTAAGTTTCACTCCCTCTAGTATTCCAGACATTAGAGGGAACTAAAATAAAATTGTTTACAACTTAAGCCAAAATCAAGTTAAAGTCAACAAGATCAGTAGTGTATTTAAACCTTTTTTTTTATCCTACAAAAGGATACAAGAGCTAGTCATTTGATTTAATGTATCATTTGTTCTGGTTATATATTACTTTCCCTCTTATGAATTCGGTCTGTGTTATTCAGGACTTATCTAATCTGAATGCTTTTTCTTGTTTCATATGTTTATTCTCTTTTGTACTAGTACTGATTTCATCTCAGAAAGCAGATGTGATGCTCTAATTTTAGGTTCCTTTTTAAGTAGATTTTTACTTGATTCCTTATTTTCTGATATGGTTTAACCTCTAGGTTGGACGGAAGGACAGTGAGTTCTGAGAGGCAGAAGCTTGTTGAGAGATTTAATGAGCCTTTGAATAAGAGGGTAAAGTGTACTCTGATTTCAACCAGAGCAGGCTCTTTGGGTATTAATCTTCATGCAGCTAATCGTGTTGTTATAGTAGATGGTTCTTGGAATCCAACATATGATCTCCAGGCTATCTATCGATCATGGAGGTAAGCTCCTTTTAATTTTTCCCTCAATTAAAATAAGCTTTCTTCTGATAGAAACATTAATTATAAAATAGTGTACTTTTTTGTACCATCTATTTAGAAATCATAGTAGGAATAAGTGAGCAGCATCTTTGGGACGCGTTTCCTTACAGATATGTTAAGGGACTGGTTATATTTGCTTAGTTGAGTTTTTTTTTTTTTTTTTTTTTGTTGGTTTAAGTAGAAGCTCCAACTTTTTGCATTCATCTTCATTTTATCTGAATAGATTAAAAAAAAAGAAAGAGATGCCATATACAGTTCTTACTTATCTAACAGCTAATGCTATGAAATCACATCAATGGTTTTAACATAATCTCGTGCAAGTGCCCATTGTTAGGCTTGAAGAAGTTGCTGCGCAATGCATATGCTCTCCTACTTTTTGTTTAAACTCAAGTTTTCTTAAGAAGAATGGATAACAGAAGGGTGAACTCTATAGACCACTAGTATCGTGCAACGCATAGACTATCTATTTTTTTATTAATAATAAATAATAATTAAATATGAAAGAAAAGAATATGAAGGTGATATAGACTGATATTTCTATTGAAACTTGTTTGCAGTGAGTGAATTTTGAACTGTAATGGTATGTTATAATGGTAATACGGCTAACAATGCACATAATGAAAATGATATGAATAAATAGAAGAAGAAGGCAATCGGTGTTGTAATTCGATCCTAGGAAAAGAAGGAAAAAAAAAATAAAAAACATACGATTTACAATGGATATCAATATGTTCTTATGTCAAAAATCCATTCTTCAAAAGGTTAAGCTGTAAGGTGAAAGTGGAAAGCTACACTCTTAATGATGGTCATCAATATTTTCTTATTCTTGCCGAAGCATTTGCTTATAGTGAGGGAAAGTAGGTGCTTTGTTGTTGACACAGTATTGTACAAAATTTATACCACTATCTAAACAAATCAAAATCCTCATTTGATTTTGAATAGCTATGCTGGTTTCACCCTGGATAGATCCTTAAAAATTGAAAGGATACATGTTTTATATCTTGATCGTTTACAAATTATTTACTTTATGGGTATGTCTGGAGAAACTTCTCTATAAGTATTTTCAAGAGAGATAAGAAGGAAAAATAATTCTAGCTTTCCCATAATCTAAAATTAATGTATGTATAAGCTAAACTATAAAAGTTATTTTGTATTAGCTTCTTCAAAATCTTGTTTTAACTCATGTATAAGCGAATTTTAGCTTATGGAAAAATTGATTCCATTTTTCATTCATATTTGTCTCTCCTAGATGTGCTTATGAAAAAGTTTTTTCCAAACAGACCCTGTATCAAAATTACAAACAATGTTGTTGAAATCAAACTAATTTTCATGTTTGCAGGTATGGACAGACAAAGCCTGTATTTGCTTATCGATTGCTAGCTCATGGAACTATGGAAGAGAAGATATACAAGCGCCAGGTAATACAACATTATGTGTTTCTTTTGTTCAATTGTTAATTTTTTCTAACTCCAGAAGATATACAAGCGCCAGGTAATACAACATTATGTGTTTCTATTGTTCATTTATCAATTTTTTCTAACTCCAGAAATGATTTCAATAGGTAACAAAAGAGGGGCTTGCTGCTAGGGTCGTTGACAGGCAGCAGGTGCATAGGACCATTTCTAAAGAAGAAATGCTGCATCTCTTTGAGTTTGGTGATGATGACAACCCTGAGACTTTGGGTGATCTGGGTCAAGAAAATGGGCATCAAGACAACCCAATTATGGTTGGGCATTCTCTGAAACACACAGCGCCGCATTCAAATGGAAGTAGTTATTCTGATAAGTTAATGGAAAGCTTACTTAGCAAGCATCATCCATGGTAGGTTCTCCGGAATTCCAGCCATTATTTCATTTGAGATTCTTCTCATGAATATGGTGTCTTTCTCAGTTTGACTTGGTGGTATCTTTGTATGCTATTCTCCCACATTCTTTTCCATTTCCAGTACTGGATCTTGTTAAGTGGTGAATCTAAATGCAGAAATGAAGTCCACAAGAGAATTTTGTAGATTGTCATCGTACTTTCAGTTACAACAAAGTGAAAGACACTATCCTATTTTAAATTTTGCTAGATATGAGATCCATTCTGAAGATGTCCAAAAACTTAAGCTTTTGGTTTAGTTGGTTTATGATTGTGATATTAGGTCATATACAACCAAGCAGTCAAGACTTAGATCATTCCTATCCCGTTTTATTAGGTAAAACTTCAGTTATTTATGAGTCCTATAAGTTGTTAAAGGAGGAAGCATGTTGATTATGACATCATTAATGACCCTTCCCCCCCAACAGCTTAAGCATTTTGGGATAATTGGTCCATGACAAACTGCTGTGCAAGGCGAGCCCATGTACAAATTAATAATGAAAAGTTCGTGATTTCCCTATGAACTTAAATAATATGGAGAAAAGCAATTTTTGTGGACAATAAGGGTTGCTTGAGCGATTACTATGATCAAAAAGGTTTTGGGCTTGGTTCTACTGGTGCTCTTTATTTAGAGAGTCATGTTTCATGCCATGCCATTAGTTCGAAATGGGGGAAATCTCCTGCCTGAAGAATCTTGTTACCAAAAGATAAAACATATTGTCATGTTTTTTGTTTAGTACTCTAGTATCCCAAAGATTCTTGTTTGAGATGTATTTTACATTATATTGGACTGATTTTTTCTGTTTTTTAAGAAAATAATCATATTCTTTTTTTTAATATGTTTGTATGCTTACTTTAAAAATAAACAATTTTCTGCTTCTTTTAAGAAGTAAATCCAATCTACTTCTTAAATAACTGATTTTTTTAGAAAACAAACTGCTTATTTCAAAAAACTATTTTAAGTTTAAACAAACTGACCCATTATTTTGTCTTATTTTTAAGGAGTAGCATTTTTTATTTTCACCTTTGACTAAAAAACGAGAAAGGTTATATAAAATCATAGTTTCTTTTATATTTCAATATCTCTTCAATGGATTCATGGCTTGCAATTTATTTTAAAGTTTGTACGTAAGAGGTGAGGCGCAAGCACCTAGGTGTAGGAGGAGAGGAATAGTTGGCCTAATGAAGGATTGAATCTCAGCATCATGACTCCTATTCTAAAATTCTTGGGATACTGCTAATTGAACTACAAGCTAAGCTTAGTAATATTGGTTGATTCTGGTGTTTGTATGTCTGACATTTAGTAAAAATCTCAGATAGGAGAACTAGCTCCACTATATTGGGTAAGTTCCTAGTATGAACAAGATTGTTTCATTTAGAGGGTACATGTGATGCTAAACCAAAAAACGTTTTTGGATCAAGTAACTTATAATTATTATTTTTTTGTGCAATTTTCAAGGTAAAGTAGAATGTGTTGAAATAGCTTTGCCAAATGACAGATAGTCTTGATCTAGAAGTTTGATTTAGAGGTATTGTTGAGTCAGTTCTGTTGCTTAATCTTCCTTTTCTTCTGGTTCCAAATTATTTTCTGCAAATCTGTTGCATTTATATTTGTCCGTCTGATTATTCTGTATCATTCTCTGTTGAAATGATGTATAATTGGTTTAGTTATTGGGTCATATAAGTTTATATGGACATTTAAGCCTGTACGTTATATTTTAAATTAAGAAGGAATCTTCATTATAGCTTTGCCAAATAACAGATAATCTAGATCTAGAAGTTTGATTAATAGGTATTGTTGAATCAGTTCTGTTGCTTAATCCTCCTTTTCTTCTAGTTCAAAATTATTTTCTGCAAATCTGTTGCATTTATATTTACCCGTCTCATTATTCTGTATGATTCCCTGTTGAAATGATGTATAATTAGTTTAGTTATTCGGTTATATAAAATGATGTATAATTAGTTTAGTTATTGAGTTATATAAGTTTATATGGACATGTAAGCCTGTATATTATATTTTAAATTAAGAAGGAATCTTCATTACAAAGGTTTTTGATAAGACTCGTTTAAAGTTTTTTTTTTTTTTTTTGGTTAAATAGATAAATGGAAGATCGGATGATAATTTTGTTTAATTAAGCACACTAAGCTTCCGATTGATGTAATTGTTACTACTTCTGACGGACTTGCACCTGAGCCAACAAAATTATGTTTGCTTCAAACTCAGTTATTCATTCATTAATTATTAAATAATCTGAATTATATTTTTCTGGGAATATTTCTGCGTATGAAGCCAGGTCACATGTAGAGTCTGTGTATTGATTTTAGCACGATTAGGACACTAGTTGAACCAGATTTTTGAGTGGCTAGATTTCTACAATGCTAGTAGCAATTATCTATGTACATTAATTTAAACAAGATTTCAGTTAATTACATAGATTGAAGATTTGTTCTAGAACATAGACTAAAGATTTCTGCTATCTGTAGAAAATAGGGATACTTGTATTTGTTTCTCTGCATTTTCTTAAATAAGTAGAACGTATCTAACACATCAGCGAATATACTTTTCTTTGACAGGTGGATTGCCCATTATCATGAACATGAATCCCTGTTGCAAGAAAATGAAGAGGAAAAACTATCAAAAGAGGAGCAAGATATGGCTTGGGAGGTTTACCGGAAATCACTGGAATGGGAAGAAGTCCAGAGAGTACCACTAGGTGAGTCTATTGTGCCTATTCAGAAACCAGAAATTCCAAATACTGTGCCCCATGTATCAGAAACCTGCAACATCTTGCCAAGTAAACTAAGCAGACGTTTTGCGTCCCGGAAATGCACCAACCTTGCGCACATGTTGACACTTCGAAGCCAGGGTACAAAATTTGGTTGCAGTACTGTCTGTGGGGAATGCGCCCAGGAGATTAGGTGGGAGGACTTGAAGAAGAGATAGGAATGTGGCAACATGAAGGATAACATAATATAATCTGTTTATATATAATTAAATCTTATTTTTTTTTTCGTAAATGGTTATGCCCCATGTTTTAAAATCTTTTGTGGATGAAACATTAATGTTCCTCCGAAAAAAATGAAATAGAAATGTTTATTTTGTTGTTGTGAGCAGTTAATGGCTTTTCTTTAGCACTACATGTGGAAAATATTGTATCGTTTTTTATCAAGCTTCGTGGATATCAGGCGTCGCGTTGGTAGCAGGTCCCCAACAATTTCCCAGGAGGGATGATTCATCTTATTTCAGGGAATATATCCTGGTCTGTGGGTACTTGCTGGTAAATAATCTGCAATATTAATAGAAAAATGTCTGCCGATACATAACTATAAACAAACCATGGAAACAACCACACTGCTTGCATACTTACTCATCCAAACTCAACAAGGTAATAGGTTGCCTTCTGTTTTTATTTTTTTAGATAAACGTTATTACAGTAGTGGTGATTTTTAGATTCAAATATACCAACGTTAAGATTTAGGCGAATTATAGCCATGAGGGACAAGCGTGTATATCTCTTTGTAACGTTCTACGTTTTTACTATCCTTTTTCTAGTAATTATTATTGTGTTGTTTATCTTGTTTGTTATTACAAGTGTTCCAAACAAAACTGATTAATTAAAATAATAAAAGACGATTAAAAAATAAAATATTGTTTAAAATTAGTGTTTTGGATTTTTTAACTGAATGGTTTGGTATATACTTAAATATAATGTGGTATGTATAGAGTTAGTTAATAATCAAAGTATATTATAAATATATGTTTTTTGAAGATTATTTTATGATATAATTATATTTTACTTATAATTTTTTTTTATCAAATCATAATTACATATTATATTATAGTTTTCCGTTACCAATTTATGTATAATTTATCATGAATGAATACAAAAGAAAGTGGAAGTTTTAAATATAATTACAACTCTAAAAAATACAATAAATCTCTATTTAATAATTTTATATTATAAAATATTTTAACAAGGTTTTGTAAAATGTATTTGATTATTTTTTGTAAAAAGTAATAAAAATTAATCTAGATTTATTAAAAAAATATTGTTTTAATTTGACTCATATTTTATATTACATTAAAATTAAAATAAATTTAATTTGTATATTTGATTCATATAATTATTTAATCAAACCGCGATCCTTATATTATATAATAGGAAGAAAGATGTAAGATCTGCTGCTTCTGCACTAAGAGGACTGGCAATCAAGAAGTTGATTATTAACCCTAAATCAACACCATTTGTTTAAATAGGGTTGAAGACTATTTTAGAAACAAAACAACTAAGAAGTTGACTTTACTTTTCTGAACAAAGCCATTGATTATTACAATTTATATGAACACACATGTATATTCTGAAGTTACAAGTATATTCTGAAGTTTAAAGTATATCATTAGTAACCAAATCATGTAAATTAAACGGACAGAATTAATTGATATTGGATGTCTGAATTTATATTTAGGCCGTGGGACCAGTATAACATAGGGTCTACAAGAACAATTGGTTACAACAGTTAGATTTATTTATTTTCTTTGAATGGCCAAGATGAAATAACGGGTATTTCCACCTTTTAAAAAAAAGATAAACGAACATCAGAAGCATGGCAAAATGACATAATTTAGTTTGTGCATTGCAACTGCCCTTTACTGCACAACAACTTAGCGACATCTGCAACTTTCTTCCGCTTGCATAGGTACTCATGATGTCGATTCAGACAGTTAAAAACTTAGTTATTTTATGACAGGGTTAGACAGTTCGTAACGGAATTCAGCAGATCAGGCAAAAAATTCCCAATTCCCAACTCCATGATCACCAATACCCTCAATACTAGCTAAAATTTCATATATTTCTTACTCACTGGCAACAAGAATATTATACAAAAAGATCACAAATGAGTATACAACAGATAACCCTACCTTGTACATGTTCATAGTTTAAGGAAATTAGAAACACACTTTCTAATTCACTCTTTGTCATTGATTAAAATTTATTAAGAATCACAAAATAGTAGGAGAAACTCATCAAAATAAAGAGTGAGCAGCACACTATTTGTGACTCTAAACAATTTTCAACAATTGACAAAAAGTATATTAGAATGTACATTGCTATCTTCTCAATTTTGGTTCGATTATGTATATTCTTTTAAGCAACTAAAACATCAGACAACTACAGTTCTTCACGTCACCAAGAATGACATAAGCGTTGCTACTATGTATGATATACCCCCTTTACATTTTATAGATGATGATGTCGATGTCTTATCCCACTTCACCTCTCCCACAGTGAAACAAAGAACACATACTAACCAGGATATAAAGAGTTAACAGGACATGGCTTGTGGCAGAGTAAAACAGCAAATGGTTGTAGCAGGAAGCAGAACTAGCAATATTCATCTCCTAGCCAATTATCCTTCTCCTTTGGACCAGTTGGCCCCTCCTCACCATAAAGCTCTGTTGGAAATAGTTCAAATAAGTTCTCCACAGAAAATCTAACAAATAGAGGAAGCAGATCTATTATCTTGTCTATCTCAGAACGTGAATCATATACAATGGTGGGACCCCACTCTCTCATATATTGCAACCAACATGGTTCTGTAATGACTCCTTCACCAAGATACTCGGCTGCAACAACCTGATATTTAATGCTTGAATCCACAATGAATTTGCTTCGAGCTGCGTCATTGCGTACTCCTATTCCTAGTTTGGATAGTCCCTGAAGATAAGTCCCAGGATGAGGGAAACTAGCATGGCCATCTTTTGATGAATAAACAATTGACTTATTCCCCTTGATAAACTCCAGATCAAATGCATTTACCCAGTGACCTCCACTATGCTGAGAGAAGAAAACAGACCATAGTTCTCCGCTGAAGTTGCTTATACGAAGGGTGAAGTGCTCCCAGTCACCTACATGTTCACCTACCTTGTTCATCTCAATGTTCATTAGTGCCACTTTAAGGGTTGCAGGTCCATTGAAGGGGCAAAAAACCCACATCACAATATCAGTAAAGGCTCCTCCCAATGCTGGTTTTACATGAACATAGAGTTCTGCACTCTCTATGTTTCCCTTCTTTAGATTGTTTCTTGCATCTTCATCAGTAGGAAAATCAATCCAAAAGGCACCATCATTAGTTCCTCCACTAGGTAAATTTGTGCCCTCATAATCTATAGCTTTACCCTTGCTACTGCCTGCTGCATACAAAACTGCACCATTCTTAAAAAACCATTGCACTGATGATGGCAAGTACTTCTCATCAGGATGAAAGTATACAGTAGGACCATAATGCTGAATAAGTGCATGAATCTGGTTCTTATTTGGCATTGCGCTCAAGGAAGAATCAAGATTCTTCAAGCATGAAATATCCACCACTTGTTCAGAATCGAAATAGGCACTACCACAGAAAAATGTCCCAACAGACACCCCTGTAGCTAACATACCTCTATCACAGGGTTGTGTATTCCAAACCTGAAATGCATTTTTTGCATATTTTGACTTTACAGTCAGTAATAGATCAGAAGTCTCACAAGTTTCTGTGAGATCACCTCGCACGCATCTAACTTCTTCAACTGCAGGTTCATTAGAACTGCTAGTGACTACTATGCCCATGGCTTTATAACCAATTGGAGGGTTTGGCAACCAAAAGTAGACACATTCATCATGTGAATCCATGCTCCATATTAGTGAGTAGCCAAGTGGTTTTTCTAGAGCAGGAGATTCTAACACAGAGGCATTAGTTTCATGTGCCACAAGAACATATCCTCTCAATGGCTGGTCATTAGATTGGCAGTAGTGACCAAGGCAGAAAAATCCTTCTGGAATTTCCAAAGGTCTATAAAACGTGAAACCCAACGATTTCCCACGCAAACTTGTGCATCTCCAAACCTTCTCAAACTTGTCTACTTTTAAAACTTCTATTTCTCCAAGGCATATTCTTCCACTTGCAAAACTACCACCTGACCAGATCATTCACAGGCTTAGATAAATAAGATAATAAAGCCACAAATATATGACAGCATACCCAAATAAGATCAAATAGTTAGAACCAAACAGAATCAAATAATTAAATTATCATGTCTGCAAAAAAGATTCTTACTTGATGCACATTGCATAAGTATCAAGCAAAAGTACAAACTAATTTTAGTATTAAATGAGTGAAAAATACAGTAAGTTCTACACAAAATGTTGCAGTAACGAATTGATATTGAATTATCAAAGGAAAACAAACATTCATCACTAAACTTCACAACATTTGACAAAACATTTAGCGAAAAGTCAAAAGGTAAGAAATTCCAGTAGGAGTGTTACAACAACAGTAACATCATGAACCTTTCCCTCCTTAAAAAAACAAGATCATTTAACGGACTTTTGGAGTGAAGCAATACGTGATAGAAGATGAACAATGAGACAACCATGGAATTAATGGCACCACTTCACATCCAAACAAAATTTCATATAAATAAATAAAGTAAAGCAAGGCATCTCTCTGTGTTACGGTGATAGAATATGTGCAGACAAATTAACAAATTAATAACAACGTCCCGATTATTTTTTTACTGCTGTAGGTTATGATGCCGGTTTTTCTAACATCTTGTGAAATAACTAAAGAGGATGCAATTTAAAGATATGTGCGGATAAACCTGCGAAAATATTTGAAGCAGAAGGAAAAATTAAATAATTTCTCTATACGATAAAATAGCTTATAAATAGACAATTTTGTAGAAACTCTCTTGCATCAGCTCCTTCAAAAGATTATTTTTGGCTTATCCATAAATAAGAAACTTTGTTCTTTTTTTTTTTTTCTCCTGTCGTAAGAGTTTTGGATAAATTTATCTACTCATTCCCCAAGTCTGTCACCACAAAGTGTATAAATTCTCTAACACTTATTTTTAAACGAATAATTGTTTTCAGAACATACGCAAGATGATTGATAAAAGGAAAGGACGTATAAATAGTAACAAATCTCAATTCTGATCCAATCACCACTGTACTTTACTCAAATTCTGCACTTTCTGAACCCCAAATCCCTTCCAAAAAAATTGCACCTTCCTAAAACTCTGGTTTAAAATCGTTTTTTTCAAATATGATACAACATGTATGAAGTTTAAGATTCCCGGGAGATTGAATAAAGAAAGTTCCTAATCACTGTAGCTCTAATAGAAAGAGGGGCGAAAGAAAGGAAACCCATCAATGAAATTTAACAAATAAACAGAAAAGCTTGTTCAAAAAGTCAATGACATACATACCTTGGGGCCATTGAGGAAGGGGTGAAGGCAGAGAGAAGGGAAGTGGATCAGGGTCAGTGAATTCAGGAGCACAATCCCAGCATGGTAAACTCTTGCACCCAAACATCTCCAGGAGAGACAAATATTCTTCAGAGACCCTCTTCCACAATTAAAGAGAACTTTTTTTTTTTCTTGCCTTCAATGGAGTCCAAGAAGAGAGAGAAGGAGATTGTTGCAACAACAGTAAAGGAGAAAAGCCTTCAACTTTCTCTCCTCCCTCTCCTCTTCCCTTCTTTTTCTCACAGAGATTATGTTCTGTTTTGCTCTGCTTTAACTTTAGATGACTTTCGAGTTTTTTGAGGTGGTCTTTTAATTTGTAAGTTCCAACTTCGGTGCTTCTCCAAACCAGAAAATTAATTAATCCATAAGAAAAAATTGCATTTGGTTTGTATGTCATGAAATATAAATAACTCGTGGGTGTTGCATACACGCTTGTGGTATGAATTATTTCAATATTCAATTATTAGTTTTTTGTTTTTGTTGATTAAGACATGTTTCTCGCTTTCTTCAACTTTTCATTTATTAGCAAAGTCCACAAGCATGTATTAAATCTTTCTACGTTCATCTACTTAACCCTGTGAGGTTATTACGGTCTATGTATATCACAATTTCTTGCTATTTAAGTACAAAAAAAAAATCAGAGACAATTGATTAAAGTTGAAGCAAAAGATCAAATAAAAATAAATCAGTTTAGAACCTAATTATAGTTTGTTTGTTTTCCGGTTAGTTTAATTAATTTAAAGTATCAAACATAATTTCAATATATGAAAAATATAATTTGAATGTATAACTGAATTAGTCTTAGTCATAAATTTTATATTAGAACTAGTATGTTTTCCGTATTACTCATGTTTTTTTTTAATATTTTTCATATAATAGAGTATATAATAAAATCATACTTTAATAAAGAATTTGCATTTTATAAATAAATTGAAATTTGGAAAATTATTATAGAAAAAAATTAATTTTTTTAACTGTAAATTAATAGTTTATTAACTTTTAATGATCGCATCCAAGATATATAGAATTAGTTGGTAACGAACAATTTAAAACATATTTCGATAAAGGAAATGACGTTTTATATTCACTTATAAACATAAAACTAGGTAAAATGATTATTATTTAGGTTTAATTATATATAAATCATTTTTTAAGTCTTATTAGAAAAAAATAAAAGTGCATTTAAAGAAAAAATAATTATTAAAATTTATAATTTAAAAAAATAATAAAAACACGAGAGAGAAAATATAATATGTAATTAATAGAAAAAATAATATATCTAAAAATAGAAAAAAATTATTTTCACAACTAACTATTAAATATTTTTATTTCAACCGTCTATTTATAATTATATAATGTAAAATAACTCTTAACAAAAATATTTTCTTAACGTGGATCATAATCAAAGTTTAATAAAACTTCAAATAAATAATATTAATAATTTGATATATGTTTAAGAAAAATGACAAAGTTTTGTTCATGAGGAAAAAAATCACTAGACATATATAAGATTTGTATATTAATTTGTCCAATGTATAATTAAAGATAAGTAAGTCAGTTAATATATATATATATATATATATATATATATATATATATATATATATAGTGAATACAATGAATTTATATGAATTATTAGATAAAATAAATACAAACAAGCACACTTATATACACAGATAATTATTATAAATAACTTTCTTTTACATAATATATTAATAAATATATTAACAAATGAGAAATAAAATTGTAATCAAATATATAGTATAAAACATAAAATAGAAATTAATTAGTAAAATATATATAATAATCTAAAAATTTAACTTGTATTCTCTCTATATATATAATACAAAATTACAACGCGATAACCCATCTTCAGCATGTGGAAAAGATTATGTCGAAGTTAAGGAAATATGTGGACTGAAATATCCATTCTATCTCACCTATCTGGTTTATTTGGCCTCACATTTCCCGGGAAAAAAAATTACATTTTTTTCAGTATTAATTTTTTTCTATTTTATTTTTAGTTAAATTTGAAAGTTGAAAAATAATAAAGTTTGATCAATTCTGGAATCAAATTATAGAAAGGGTGAATATTGTGTGAAAGTAATTTTCATATAGAAAGGTGATAAAATAAATTATTTCCCTTAACTTGCCTTAATAGTAATTTGGTTCTTGATTGATATAAGAAAGAAAATCAACAATTATACACTATTTCTGTTAAGCTTGTGGTTTATTTATTGCATCTCCCTCTTATGTTGCCCCGTTGAAAACGTTTATTAATATTACTATTATTGTGATACCAATTGCAATGTTAAATGATGATGGTATTAGGTAGAAACTTAGAAGGATGCATTTAATAAGATATTTGAGTATGGTACATCATTCTATATTTTATAATGTTCATAAATTCCACCATGTGAATAGAGAGACAGCATAACATGTTATGCTAATGCTTGTACATTAAAATGTGAAGTAGATGTAAATCCCACGTTAAAATCATTTTTTTGAAGTTAGATTTAGTAAAGTTGGTTGGATATCAATGGTCCTGTTACTTTCTCTTTTCTTCCCCAAATCATGAATATCTTGGAAGCAGGGAAAGAAAAAGACAAAACAATGCTAAAGTGTAAGTTTTTCCTTTGTAATTTTGAGGATAATCCTTCTGATATTAGAATAATTTTTTTTTTTTAGTTTCTGTAATATTTTTTATTTATTATTTTATAAAGTTTCAATCTTTGTGTTTTTTTTTTAAGTATGCAACTCTATCCTTTTTTTTCTTCATTATTCAACTCTATCTAATCTAATATTCTCATATAGGCTTTGTTTGGTTGGAGTGATTTGAGAGAGTGGAATTGAGAGAGTAGAAAAGGAGGGATTTGAAGAGAAATGAAGATGATTGAAAAGTGAAAGGAAAGTTTATGGGAAATTGTGAATGATTTGATTGATATGAGATATAAAAATTATAATTTTATGTTGATTATTTAAGAAAATTACCATTTTACCCTTTGTATAAAATAAGGTTCAAATGATTATAAATATAATTTTTTAATTAATTATCCATATTTTAACATTGATTATATATTTAAAAGAAAAAACAAATTTAAAAGTGTTTGTAATTGGAAACAAGTTTAAAAAATTAACTTTTTTTAGATAGTTATTAAAAATTATATAAATAAACAATTACAAAATTATGTACATTACATATCCATATTCAAATAATGTTGACATATTAAAAAAATTATTTGACTAATAATTAAATAATTATAAAATATAAAATAATAATTAATATTGATCTGATAATAACAAATAATTATGAAAACTAATAATATAATTGTACATTATTATTTAAAACAAATATAAAATACAATGAAAATAGAATAATAATTAAAGGAAAGATTACTAAAATTATAAATCTATGCACACTAATGCTCTTCAAACAAATAATTATAATCTTATCCATCTTTTGCGATCAAGTCCTCCAGTTCAGATCATTCAATCACCTCCATTCAAGAACATGAACAACTGGGAGAGATGAAGATGTGAGGGCAAGCCAAAAAGTCGTCTAACATGTGATGGGTGAGTACACAAATGATTATAACACTGAAGCATAAGTTGCTCATCATTTAGGTACAAGTTTTCAAATGATCGATTATTTTGCCAAAATGATCGATCACTTTTCCAAAACCTCGACACTTTAGATAGCGGTTCACCTGGAACCCCTATCATATGTTCACATATGATAGCGGTTCCAGAATAACCGCTATCTAAAGGCTCCAAAATTTGAATTTATTTTAATGTATAATTATATATATATATATATATATATATATATATATATATTCTAAAATATAATTTAACATTTTGAATTCGAAAGGTTTTCTCTAATAACAAATTAAAAAACATAATATTCAAAAAAATATTTTAAGATTCGGTCTCGAGTTTTATTTCGCTCGAGCGATTATACTCTCGCTCGAGCGAAATACCATCCTGATCGATCATAATTTGAAATGATCGATCATAATTGGAGGATATCATAGCGGTTCCTCTTTAACCGCTATTTAAAGTATATATTAGATAGCGGTTATGGTTTAACCCTATTACAAGTTATATTTCGCTTGAGCGACATTATACTCGCTCGAGCGAAGACATCTGCACATAATTTTCATCCCCGGGTTGTTTTTCGCTTGAGCGAAACTGATCTCGCTCGAGCGACTAGCAAAGTATGATCTCGCTCGATTTATTTTAATCGATTAAAACACGTTTTAATCGATTAAAACCACTTTGGAAGTCAGGATGATCGATCAGAATGTAGTTATGACCGATCAGAGTTGGTTATGATCGATCAGAATTGAATTATGACCGATCAGACTTATTTCAATCGATTAAAACAAATTTCAATCGATTAAAATGACTTGAAAATTTTTGTACAGAGTTTCAATCGATTAAAACGAATTTCAATCGATTAAAATGACTTAGAAAAAATTCTGTGCAGGTTTTTAATCGATTAAAACTTCTTTGTATCAGTTAAAATAACTTGAAAAGTGTTATAAGAAAGTTTTAAATTGAATCAATCGATTAAACCGCGAATCAATCGATTAAATCACTCTTAGAAAATGTTTGTAAAAAGTTTTAACTGATAAAAACTTGGTCGTATCGACTAAAACAATTCTGTTAAAGAACAAGAACGCATTAATGGGTTGAAAGGACTTTTAACAGATTATAACGACTATTTCAACAGATTAAAACAAACTTTGAACAGATTAATTAATGCGAGTTTTTCGAAAACTCTTTTATAAACAGAATTGCTTGGAACTTTTATCATATCAGTTTTAAAAAAACAAAGCAATCAATTTATTGGGTGAACCAAGTATAACAATTGCTTGGAACCCACTGGAATTTGGCTAGAGACTGGACGTAGCCCTGGTATTGGGTGAACCAAGTATAACATTGATTATATATTTAAAAGAAAAAACAAAATTAAAAGTGTTTGTAATTGGAAACAAATTTAAAAAATTAACTTTTTTTAGATAGTTATTAAAAATTATATAAATAAACAATTACAATATAATT